CATAGACTAATTCGTAACCTAACATTTAGGAAATGAATATGAATCAAACATAGAATAAATTAAGAAATAAAGTATGAAGCATATTGAAGGAAAGAGGTTAAATTTGGTTTAAGCACTGAACTCGGACCGTATATAATAGGAATGGTGAAAATCTTTGGCGGTTGAAAAGGCAGAATCTCTTTGTATATCCGTAGTACCAATGGAAGAAATATAAATGGGATGCGAATAATACATGGATAATCTGAAAGACACTAGATTAGTAGTAGTGAAAAGGAATTCTTATGATTGATTATATTTTCTAATTAAAAATTAAAGAATATAATGTATTTACACAATATAAATATTATTTATTTAAATTTTTAGAAACAATATGATGTTGTAGAGATTTTAAAATGAGAAATATTGTGTTTTTTTTTGTTTGTTTTAAAATTTTTAAAAATATGATATTTTATGATGTTTGAAAATTACAATATTTTTTACAAACAATTTATTAAATTATATAATTGAATGTTATTACATATGTTTCAAATAAAAGATATATTTAAATTATTTTAAAATAATATTTTGATATTTTAGATGACTTAAATAAATATATATTATATCTTGAATTATTTAAATTCTTTACATTTAAATAAGTTTTAGGATTTATTATTTTTAATTCTTAAATATTTTTCCTTTCTAAAAAATTATAATCTTAGAAAAAACAAATATGTTGCTTTAATAAAAAATCAAATAATTATTTTTTTTTATGAAATATTTAGAAAATGATTAAATTAAAAATAACAGGCAAATTACGATAAAAAAAGAAAAAGATTTTGTAGATAATGTAAGAATAAGTATCAATGAAAAATAGCATATATATTAGATTTAATTTTTTTGAATAACTTGCTTATTGTAATAATAAATAAAAAAAATTAAATAGTAAGTTAATCTGTATGTATCAGAGTATTTTTTTAATTTGAAGACTGATAATTAAATGAGAATTAAAAGTTTAATCATTGTTTAATAAAACTAGGTTCATTATTAAATAATCATAATAGAATTAGCATTTTTTTTTAAATATTTAAATGATACATAATATTAATAATAAAATCGGATTAGCAATGGAATACTTATAATAAGTAATTGTAAATTGATTGATTAAATGTTGAATATTTTTAATGAGTGGAGAGTAAAAAATAAGATTGATATTTAATAATTATATTATAATAAATTGAATGGCATCTTAGCTAGAGGATCGTTAGTAAGGAAATTTTTCTGATTTTGGAATTACAGCAAAAGAATTATCGTAAATAATATAAAGAATAAATAGGAACTGGTTTATCTAAGATAATTTGAGAGATGGTACAAGTTTGTAATCTTTGTTGAGATATGGAAAAATAGAAGGTTTGATGAAGATTTTGAAAACAGATAGATAAGTATATAAAATGAGTATATATGTAGAATGGATTAGATGATAACAATATAAATGATATGGAATTAAGAAGGAAGAAGTACATAATTATAATAATTAAAATTATAGTTTTGGTGATAATTAAGCTTTCATAAAAAAACATAAGAGCTTTTTAGATTTTGTAAAAACAATAAATTAATTGAATAGATGTATGAAAACTTTTAAGATTAGATGCTAAGATTTTTATGTTATATAGCAATAGCAAATATAATATTAGGATTATGGATAGAAGGATAGGTAGAAATTATAATATAAAAAATAAAATTAGGGATGTATAGATGAATTAGCAATTTTGATTGGAGTTTTAATAATAGTATTAGTGTTAGCAGGAAACTGTTATGTAAAAGATTAAAAGTTTAAAAGAATGGATGTTATAATCAAAAATAGAAATGTAAATGTAAAGAGAAGAGGTAAAACAGTGAGTATAAATATTGATAAATTGGTTGTGGGTGATATTATGATAATAGACACAGGTGAAAAAATACCAGTGGATGGAATAGTTATTGAATCAAGTGATTTAAGAGTTGATGAGTCATCAATTAATGGAGAAAGTAAATTAATTAAAAAGAATATTCCAATTATTTATTAATAGAATGAAAAAGTCAGTCCATTTTTAATTAGTGGATCATCTATTATAGAAGGTATAGGTAAAATGTTAGTATTGGCAGTTGGAGAACACTCATAATTAGGATTTGCAAAGAAATTAATGAATTCAGAATAATAATTTGATTCAATATTATTATAAGAGAAACTTAATACTTTGGCAGATTAAATTGGTGAATATGGATTAAAAACTGCTATTATTACATTTCTTGTAATGATATTTCATTAATTCTATGATGCAATTTTCAATTAATATCCATTATTTTCACTTTCTGCTTTAAAAGATTTATTTAATTCTTTTATTTTTTCAATAACAATTATTATAGTTTCTGTTCCAGAAGGATTAACTTTGTTTCTTACAACAATTTTTGCATATTCCATTTTCAAAATGAAAGATCAAAATAATCTTTTAAAATAATATTCTGCTTTTGAAGCTATGGGTAGTATAAATAATATATGTTGTGGAGAAACTGGAATATTTACAGATAATAAATTAAATGTTACTAATTTATTTATTGAAGATAAAGATTTTAATATTAATAAATTAGATCTTTAATCTATTAACATTAATACTTTAGAATTATTATGTGAAAGTATCTGCATAAATTCAATGGTTTCTTAATTAATAGATGATGTAAATACAAGTGAATATAGAATTGATTATATAGAATATGCTTTAATAGAAATGTGTTATAAATTTGGATATGATTATAAACAAATAAGATAAAAAATGAGTGGAAAAATAATACATAAATTGCCTTTTGGTGAATAGAAAATAAAAATGACAACAATATTAGATAAGGGAGATGGAGATTAATACAAAATTTATACAAAAGGAGCGCCAGAAATGCTTTTAGATAAATGTTCTCATTACATAAATGAATAAGGAAAAGTTGTAGGGTATAATTAATAAAATATTTAGGATTACAAATGACTACAAATAGAAATTAAATACTATAATATAGAATTATGGATAATAATAAATAAAATCAATATTATTATTATTTAGAGATGTATTTAAAATAGAAGAATTTGATCATTTATAAGAGTAGATAGATAAATCTTATACAATAATAGGATTAATAGGATTATAAGTATAATTAAAAGATGAAATAATAAATACAGTATAATAATGTAATTAGGCAGGAGTAATAGTGAGATTAATTAGTGGAGATAATATAGATACAGCTATTGCAATATCTAAGAAAGTTGGAATATTACCATAGAATTATGAATATCATAAAGATTGTTTAACAGTAATGGAAGGAGATAATTTTAAGTAAATGATAGAAGGATTAATTTTGGATGAATAAAATGAACTAAAAATAAAAAATGTGTAGAATTTCTAAAAAATAATAAAAGATTTAAGAGTATTAGTAAGATCATCTCCAGAAGATAAATATTGTTTAATAACAGGTTTAAAATAACTTGAAAATGTTGTAGCAATGATAGGAGATTAAATAAATGATGTATAATCATTAAAAAAAGCAGATGCAGGTTTAACAATGGATATATCTGGAACATAAGTTGTTAAAGAAGCAGCTAGTATTATACTTTTAGATAATAATTTTACTTCTATTATTACAAGTATGAAATGGGGTAGAAATCTATTCGATTGTTTAAGAAAATTCTTAATATTTTAAATTACTATAAATATTGTAACTGTTTTAATAGCATCTTTAGGAGAAATATTCTTAAAAGAATCACCATTAAATAATATATAAATGTTATGGATTAGTCTAATTATGGATACTATTGCTTCTATTGCTTTAGCAACTGAACCTCCTTCTAATTAAATATTATTAACAGATAAACCATTTAATAGAATGGATAACATAATTACACCTGAAATGATAAAAACTATTCTATGTTAAGCAACTTTCTAAATCTTTATTCTTTTTATTATACTATTCTATGGAGATTCCATATTTAATATTCAATCTAGTTATAGATACAATTTAATCATTAAAGAATATAAGTAATTATAATTCTTATCTATAGCCCTATTTATCAATAACATTATACTATCTTCTTTAATATCTTTATATTTCTAACAATATTCAATTTATTCAATGTAAGAAGATACAAAAAAATTGAATTAAATATATTCTAAGGAATCCTTGATAACTATTTATTCTTATGCATTATTCTTATAACCATAATTGTATAAATCATTATTATGTAATCTATTATCTTTCATTTATTAGATAATTTGGTGGAAGAGCTATTAAAGTTGCTCCTTTAGATTTTACTCAACATATTCTTTGTATTTTAATAGGAATGTTCAGTTTTGAAGTTGGATTCTTAATTAAATTTATACCAAATCATTACTTTCAATTCCTTAAAATATTTAAACAATAAATTTCTGTTGAAGAAGATCAAGAAACTATTCCACTTATTAGTGATTATTAAAAAAATTAAATTAAAGCCTGAAACAATGCTTTTTTATATTATTACATTTTATTAAAATAAAGAACATAATTAAATATTAATCATTATACTTAAAATAACACTTTTTAATTATTATATTAATTAACATTCTAGTTAATATAAATAATTTTAATGTGAATTTTTTATAATTAAAGACTCTTCCTATAAGTAAATTTGTATTAATAGATCAAATAATTAGAGTATAATAATTAGAGTATAATATTATACTAAAACAAATAATTTTACATTATTCTCTAAGATGCATTCATTTCAATAGAACCATTAAATACATAGTTACAATTCAAATAAATATATAATTAAATATAATAAATTTGCTACAAAAACATAAATTATTAAAGCTTTCATACAATCAAAATGATTTTAGATTCAAATATAATATATAAAAGATCTTTAAAATACTAATATATATCAATTGATAAATAAAATGATGAATCAGAAAATAAAAATTAAAGTATGAAATTATCAAAATTTCATTTTTTTATTATTTTTTATAATGTTATAATATTTAATATAATTAGTATGCATTATTTATTAAAAATATGTTAAATCAAACTCCTTAAGATTGATATAATAAAATTCTATATGATCTTACATCTTCAGAATTATTCACCACAAAATAACGCTTTTTTATCATACTTTAACACATTACAATCTTTTATGGATTAACCCTACTCATAAATAATACTTTAAATTATTTATCACCAATTTAAACAGGATGTGCATATTCTAAACAAGCTTCAAATTTATCAGAAAAATAGATTCCCTTGCCAATTTGATCTTAATTTTTCATACTAGAGCATGAAAAATGGGCATTTCTATTACCTTATTACAATCCCTCTTTTATTATGTTTACAACAAATTAATTTTAAGTACCATGAAATAATATTCTCCATTCATCTTTATTACCATCCATTTTAATCCAATCCAAATTTTTCCCTTTGTTTTTTAAATTATTAATATTTAACCCAAATCCATAACAACCTTTAGGAAAATAATAATCATATTGATCATTTTTTGGACCTCTTTTCTCTTTTTCTGGAAAGTTGTTCCAAGACATATTATATTTTGGATCGAAATCATTTAACGAAATACTTAAATGATTTTAATTGGCCTTAACAAAATAATTATAAAAAGTAATTTGTCCTCCACATACATTTTCTAAAAATTTAATTTCTTCCTAATTATTTTCAATTTCTGATCTACCATTTATTGTAAATCTTAATATAGTACTTCCTTTAGCAACATCTAACATTTCTATATCACTAGGAGGAACTTAAAATATTTAAGAAACCTTCTCTTAAAAAGTTCTAATGTATGAATTTCTATATTCTTAATCATTACAGAATGTTTCATATTCAATATCAGTTGATCTAAAACTTAAACATTCTTAATCTTTTCCATAAACACTTATCAAAGATTCTAAACCACAAGAATCTTCATCATTTGTAATTAAGAGTTTTCTATTTTGATCATATGCAAATGACTCTTTTAATACATAAAGCATTAATTCAGGATTTGATATATCTAAATTTTAATTCATATGAGGTATCTATACAATTTATGCTCTTCCTATTTTTTCAAGTTTTTCAACTAGTTCTGATTTTAATTAACTTTAATAGAACTTTCTTTTTATACTAGAAATGTCATCTCTCTATTCTAAACTTTTAATTTCATCTCTTATTATTACTATTTATTCCTCTATAGGTTTCTATTTAATTATTAATTGGCTTTTTATTTTATTTTATATGAATGAAATATTTTATTCATTTGTTTGGTTTTTAAGCACTATTTCACTTTTCGACTAATTATTTATTTTTTTATGATTATTACTCAATATCAAATTACTTCTTATAGACATTTTTTATTTAAATTATTTGAATTTTGTTATATAATATCATTTATTTTATATAGTAAAATAAATCATTAACAACTAAAAATATATTTTCTAATTTTAATTTATGCATTAGACAAATTGTTAATACTAATCTTAATGAAATATAATGATAAAACTATCTAGAATGTTGCAAATGCCATGAATTTTTATAACAATTATATTAATAATATTACTAAAAATAAAATTCCAATAAATTCTTCAAAGTTTATTATTATCAATTTAGAATTTTTATTTCAACTTTTTATCTGGATTAATTACAAAATTTAAATCCATATTTATTTTTATGATCCCCATTATCAACGAATTTCAAATCTTTACAATTTTGAATCATGTAAAACATACATTAGTTTTATGAAATTTATTAGTATTTTACACGATTTATTAATTCAATTTCATACTCATAAATATAAGTAAAGTTGAAAATTTGATATACATAGTTTTACTAGGTTCAGTTCATTATTTAAAATAAACATATTTTTGCTGTTTCCTCATAAGAATTGTTCATCAATATTGGGTAACTTTATATTCACAATATTTCTCTCTATCAATAAACAAACTTTTTTTGATTAATAAAACTTATTTTGTTTTTACTTCTCACTGGATCATTATTTTTAATTTAGAAATTTTAATCATCCTATACTTAGTGCATTAATTTTCTAGAATCTAAATTAAAAAAAAATATTTATTTTTGTAAAAATTTAATATTATATAATCCCTACGAAAAAGCATTTATAGTTATTCAACTATTTAGCCTCTCTTTATAAATAAATAAAATATAATCTTAAGAAATATAATAGTATTTTATAACAGCTCTCCTCATTAAACTGAACCTCCTCAATCCATATCTAAATTAAATAATAATATTATATTAAATTAAATTAAGATTTAATAAAAATATTCTTTTAATCTTCGATAATAAATATTCAAAGATTTAATGTTATATAAAAAGCAAAATAATCTTGGATAATTTGTATAAGATTTTCATATCTTACTTTAAATATCCAAATTCAATTTTATATTATTCTCACATTATGAACGAATTCCTTCTCAAAATCTATTTTTTTTGATTTTATTTCTCGTCTTTTGAATTAGATTTGTCTGTTGAATATTTAAATAAAATATAGTTCATTTCTTACAAAAATGCTCGTTATTATCAATCCACACTCTAAATTTATTTATGAATACAATCATTCTATAAAAGAAACCATAAAAAAATAGTTAAAAATTATAGCAAAATTTTTATTACAAATATCTGTCTGTCTTTTAAATTAAAAAATGATTTAATCACTTCAAAATTATTTTATTGTTAGAATAAAATAGTATTAAATAATTAATAATTTATGAACTTAAATAATTTAACTGTTATTGAGGCAAATTATAATCAATTACTTATTATTTAACATATTAAGAGATAAATTTGTAAAATTAAATAAGATAAAAATAATTGATTTTTATTTATATAAAATTTTTCATTTTCTATGGGTCATATATCTTAAATTAAATTTTCATTAATTTCCTTACTTTGAACTTTTTGTTTGTTTTGCTTAAACATAAAAAAAATATTTACAGTTTTTGAATTTTTCTTAACTTATTTGTTCATTACAATAAATAATTCATATAAATATTGATGCTTTATATGTTTATCATCTCCAAAAAAGTTAACAGGATTATATTACTATATATAATTATACAATTTGATTGGATTAATTTCTTTTTAATTTTATAAAGTTTTATCTAATTTAATTCTATTGAAAATTTTGAACCCAATAAGATAAACTAGAATTGAAACTAGTAAATAAATATTAAAAAGTATAAAATTTTAAATACAATACATAATAAGTAAAAACAAAAATTATTGCTTTTAGATCTCTAAATTTTTATCATCTTCCCACTTATTTAATTTAGGAATACATTTTTTGACAAAAATATATTTATGAACCCAATATGTAATAAATAAAGATAATAAAGTTAAGGGTAAAATAAATGGAAAATCAAAGATAAATATTTGAGCCAGTAAACATAGTTAAAAAATATTTTGTTACTTACTTTAGAAGTTGATTGATCTTGCTTCAAATAACTTATTTGCTTCAATTTAGAGTAAATTATTATTATTATTTCTAAACTTGTACATTTTTTTAAATTATTTAACAAAATAATCTATATCAAAAATTATAGATAAGCTAGGTAAAATGACATTCAAAAAAGATATAAGAATGAGAGTATCAATAATTCCATTTTCTTTCAAAAATATTTCTTAATTTGAAATTCCACTTAAAAGTTTATTAAAATTTTTTAAGGAGATTACTTAAAGCTAAAATAATATAAAAAATGTTACCATGAAATAAATTTATATTTAATAATTTTAAGAAATAAGTTATTGGGCTATATAATTAGATAAATGAATTTCTGATAGAGATAAAATTGAAAATAATATCCTCATTAAAAATTTATTTGATAAATTAGGGTATGATTTTAAATATTAATATTATATATATAAATTTAATGCTAGCAAAGTAGTTGTAATTAATGGAAGGAGAATAATAAATATAAATTGAAGAATAAAGCTACAATTACACTTCTTTTTTAATGTTGGTGAAAAATTTTGTTCTATTCCTTCATTAATTATTTTATCTTCATTTTAAGAACAAAATTCATCTTTTTAAATCTAATAATTATGATATTCAATATATTACCTATGATTAAAAAATTATTATATTGCCTTGACATATCAAATTCAAATCAATTTATTAAGAAAATATTGTTTTGATTAATTTTCTTTTATAACTTTTATTAAGAATTATTTTACTTAGTAATAGTGCCTTCTGTTTAATTTATTAATAATTGTTGCATTATTTAATCTTTAAATAGATCCATATTATAAAGTTTAAAGTACTGAATATTTTCATGTTTATTTTCAATTTAAGAATAATCTTCAAATGTTGAAACAATCATAATAGATTATTTTAGAAAGGCCAATTATAATTATTAACTCAAAAATGGTTTATATATACTTCCAAAATCCATAAAATAAACAGTTAAAGAACTTAGAAATATTGTTAAAGAATATAAAACTTATAATAAAAAGTCGTCTAATTAAAAATAATCAGATATTTAATTCCATATAGAATACCTTTTCCAAAATGTTTTACCACAAATTTATAGATTTTCACATTAATCACCTTTCTATGAAAAATATAAAGAATAAGGCAATAAAATAATGCTAAATATAATTTTAATAATACCATGGGATTAGAAGTAAAAACATGAATTATTTTATTTACAATAAATATAAATAAGCCTGTCGATTTTCTTTAAATTCTGATAAATCACAAAATATATTATATTAAGTATGAACTACATGAGAATTACAACAATTGCATTTTGGTGAATTAATGTTGTAATTTTTATGGATTCGAAATGCTTTCTAATTATTTTTTATTTATATTAATATACTCCATGTTATTTTGCTTTTATAATGTCTGGAGGAGTTTCAACAAAATCGTAATTCTCTGAAGATGAAGACTGTTCTTATTTATCAATTTGAAGGTTTTATTTCATTATAATATTATTTATCACTATATTTATATAAACACAATTAAAAGCTTGAAAAAAATATATATTTTTTGAAAATAATCTCTTAGATAAGAAATTTTCATCATATTTTTAAATATAACTTATTGTTTTATTGATTCTATCCTAAATACTTATCATAATTCTAAGAAAACCCTTATTTAATTAAGATTTTTAATATTGTTTCATCCACTTTATTTAAAGGACCTTAAATATTTTTAATTTTTTATAACCCTAACCCAAACTTAAAAATATATTTAAATCCAAATTATTATTTTACTATCAAATAAATTTATATTTATTATCCATTTTAAACCATTTGAAGGATATTTGAAACTTAAGAATACAAATTAAAGGATAAGAAAATTAGAAAATTAAATTTTAATATTTTGGTCAGTTATAATAAAAAAAAATCGAATCTTCATAATATAAAAAAGTATTAAATAAAAAATACAATACAGAAATCGTTTAAATTTTTATTATCAAAAATTAGTCCAAATTTATTTTAATACAATTATGATGAGCTAATAAGGTTTTATATAGTCTTTAATTTTATTTTACAATATTGTTTTCATTATTGCCTTTATATTATTTGAATAGATCATTTAATAATGAAATAAATTATTTTGTTATTACATAAAATAACTCAAAAATTTGATGTTATACACTAAATTATCATAGATTACTCATTATTTTTACTTCTTTATACATTATTGTATATAAAATATGGTTCGTCTCTTTGTCCTCATAGATTAATTAGGATTAATTACAATAAAATATTTGACAGTATTTAATTCATAATAAATTATAATAAAGGAAAAGTAAATAATCAGTTTTATATGAATATTTAGATAATAATATTACTACGAAATAATATTCATTTAAAGGATGCTATATTTCATATCTATTTATAAGTAATGTAAGGAATAGTAAATAGATACCAATAACCTAAAATTTTATACTAATTAGATAATTAAACATTTTAGATATTCCCTTATAACAGATCTAATAATATAAATAAACAAACTCTTAGGAAGTTTTGGTAATTTTGATAATGCTTAAGAATTATAAAACAAGTTAAAATCAAATTCCTATTCATCTTTAATTTTTGATGGATCAGTAGAACGCTATATATTGTAAATTAGTAGACATGATTAACAATGTTTTTAAGAGCTAAAAATATTAAAAAAGTAAAAGTTTTTAATAAAATCAAAATATGATCTACAGTAGTTATTGATACCTAATTGATTTTTATATCAGATAGGTGTTATATAAAAAACACTATAATCATCTTTGATGATTTACTCTAAGCTAATGTATACACCATCCTATAAATTCGGGTCAAATAATTATATGTAGTTACTTTTTAATTTAAAGAATTTGGATGGATATATAATTCAATTGAAATCCATAGATTTAAAGTTTTAAAGAAAATGTTTTCAATTAATTTGTGAGAAATGTTTTTAAATTATTTTAAGGTTAATGTAAATTAAGAAAGGGGCTTATATATATTTTAATTAGTTTTCTATAATTTAGAATTTGAAATAATATATTAAAGATTTATCGTTTACTTGTATGATTAATTTATTTAGTTATATGTGAATGTGTATTGAAGACAAAAAAATCGATAGATTAAACTAGGAAATCAATCTAATGATAATTAAGTCAAAGCTAATTAAGTCTAAGATAATATCAAAAATAATTATAAAATAATAATAGATTGTGGTTAAAATCTATATAGAGCATAGCTTTAAACAACTTTACCCATTTAATATATTTAATTAAAATTACTTATAAGAGAAACTTAAAAGAGAAAATTTTAAATTTAGTTTTTTAACTTTAATTTTTTTTCTCTCAATTCTTTTATAATTTCCAAAGATCTCCGCCATAATACTAAAATTTTAGATACCCAAATTCTTATGATATCAAAATTATATGTCATCGATTTATAATATTGATTTAAAAAAATGGCAATATTTTTTTATAATTTTTTTTTGAATAGTTTCAAGATTTATAAGCATCTCTTGTATTATCCTAGAGTATACAATTTATTTAAAATGGTGTTTCAATTTGATTAACCTTATCTACTTTTATTTCTAATTAATTCTACTATATAAGAATAAATAATAGAAAAAATCATAAAATAGAAAGTTTAAAATCATATTCAAATAGTTTAAATTTTTATTTCAAAAGATGATATAGTAATCTATATCTAAAAATAATAACTAATGCATATATTATTTATTATTCTAAAAGTATTATTGATAGGATTAATTAATATTTTTGAAATATCTAAAAATATAGTTTAGAAATTAGCTTCAGTAAATCTTTAATATGGCGATCATTTTAAGTTTAAGAATAGAACCAAAAATCAAGAAATAGAGGGCACATATTATTTTAAATTTGAAAAATCTTTTAGTGAATTCCTCAGCACAATTCTGGGCTTTTGGTATAAAGGTAGAGAAGATATATTTAAAAATAAATCATCATTTTTCAATATTTCTAGATTATTTGCCCTATTATCAAACTAATATATATTTTCTGAATATAAGATTTAATATAAATTCTAATTCAAAATATCTAAATTTTTGTCCCATTAAACAAATTAACACATGGATATAAATCTAGGTTTGGATCTATTTCTAAGCTCTATTATAATATTTATAATTACAAACTATTCATTAGATTGTAACTTTGTCCATTTAATATATTTACTTTGCATGTTAACTTCAATTAAGATAGTATCATTATTTGCGAATTTAATAGAATTATAATTATTTCCTCTAATGTTAATTTAATGATGTGAAAAGTTTCTTCCATCCTATAAAATTGTATAATCTCCTCTAATATATTATTATAATTTACCCTTAACCCCAACCTTTAAATCCTTTGCTCTTTAGCACTTCTCTCTCTCCAATTCCAACAAAACACCATGATCCTATTGCAAATATTCTAAAAGCAAAAAAAGTTGTTTAATTTTTTGGTAACATTTAATCAGCTAAACAATAATAATAATCTCCTTAAGCTGATTCATCCACAATTGTCTTGCATTAAGATAATCTACAATTTGCATGTTTGTATGTATCTGAAAATGTCCATTTATAATATGTTTTGTTCAATTTATTTTACAATTCTTATTCTTTAATACTAAATTGTTCCTATTTTTCTTTCAATTCTTTCTGATACTTACTATTTGAATCTGCTATTTATTTTTCGAGTGTTTGTATTTTGATTTTACTATCTTTATCTGTTTATTATAATTAATTATGTTTAGTGTTTACTTCTAATAATTATTTTTATAAATTAGATACTTATTTGTCATTTTCTTATGCCATCTAAATCAGTGTCATTTATTTTGAATTTTGTATAAATTTTTAATATTGTTTTTAGGTCAGTTATTAAATTTCATTTTATGATTACTAATCAGTGTTTGTTAATTATAAAGTGCCTTTTTAGACCAAATTATCTACTTCTGTTTATAGTTTTAGATGGAATTAGATTGATTCATTTATAATTGATAAATACTAATCCGAAATCTATGTTTTTATTATGAAATCTTGACATTCTTAACAATCATTTTTAGTATTTTATTCATTAATTTTAAATATAAATGAATCATCAAAATTTGAATTTGATATCTTTACTAATTATTCTTTGGCAAATAAATCTTATTTAATTAAATTATCTAGACCTTATTTTAAATTTAAAAAAAGCAAAGAATCTTCTTCATTAATTTTATCTTATTTGGCTTATAATGTAGCATGTTTATCTTTTTAACTTAGAATATCTACAATTTATTTAATAGATTACTCATCCTATTCAAAAAAACTAATATTTTTTATTTAATATTATTCTTTAGAATTATCTATTTATAATAATTAAATTATTTAATCTTCTATTTAAGATAAAGTTTTAATGTAATTATCTTTTAATTATTCAATCAATTTAATAAATGAATTTAATTTTGATTCTCTTTTACTATTATATTATGTTGTTAATTGATTTTATTCTTCAATAAATTCATTCCATTTTTAATTAACTTTTTTTAATGATATATATTTGATTGGGTTTTATTCAATACATTCTATGCATGCAAATCTATTAGTTTCTGATTCCTATCCAATTGAATGTAAATTTATTGCTATAATCTCTAATTAGTGATCAGTACATATTTAGTTTAAACTTGGAGTTTTCTTAATTATTAAATTATATATATACCTTTTATTCTTTCTCATTATTTTAATGTTATTAAATAATTGAATATTATTATTCTATTTTTTTTATTGATTAAAGTATTTGAGAAAATTAAGATGAACTAGATAATTAAATAAGAGGTAGCTTAATTACATCTAAAAATTAAGAAATGCTTTAAACATTAATTTATTCTCTTGGAATACTGTATTAATTATCACCCTAATAATTATCAGATAAAATTTGAACATCTTCAGCTAAATTTATTAAATCAATCGTAACATCTTTTGATTATATTTCCTTTTAATTCTCCTTAATCTGTTAATCAATACTTTTAAGCAACTTATTAAATATATCATTAAAAAGTTCATTGAAATTATTTATAGATGATTCAAGCTCTTACATATTTTATAATTTAAGTTAGCAAGCTTCTCTATTCAATTAATTTGATTTTTATTTTAAGTCTTTTATCATCTCAATTGTTTAATTATACAATATGATGTTACCATCCCCTAATTTTTATATAAGACATTATGCACATAAAAATTTATTACCTTATTTATCAATTGTTTATTTTTTCAAATCCACAGCAATTATCTCAAAATTTTCATGAGATGAACACATCAATTTATTATTATTTTAAGATGACATTTAATATATATTATTGATTTCTGCATTTGATTTAATTTTATTTACTTCTAAAACTCTATTACTAATAATAGAAATAAACTTAAAATTTGATATTATTTGATTAATAAGAATGAATTAAAATTCAAAATTTGATTGAAAGAGTATATTAGACATGAGTTTTTCTATACATTTAATTTATTGATAATTTATAAAATACGGCCACCTTTAATACACTAAAATAAATAGAAAATATTTTTTTATGATGGTTTATAATTTAAATAAATAATAAATTTTTGTTTATTATTTTTTCGATTGTTGAAATATTAATAATATTAATTAAAAAGTCTAGAAGTTCCAGATAATTGATAAGATTTTGTTTTTACACTAAACAAGAAGAATTATATTAAAAGGTTTTAATAATTAATTTAGTTCTATTAATTAAATATTATAATTCTGATAAGGATTATTTATAGTTACGATAGTTATTTTAGGAAGCAATAATATTGAGCAATTAAGTTTGAATTTTTGAACTAAGAACATAAATTTACAATCGGATATAAATTATTGTATTAATTAACTCCATAAAGTGAAATAGTTTTAATTTAAAACAATTAAAAGTAATGAAAATAATTTTTTAATAAAGTACAATAAAAATTATTTGGGCAGAAAACTTGATTAAATATCTTTTATTTTTGTAAATCAAATCTTAATAGAAAATAAGTTAATAACGGAATATTTAATGTAAGTTTAAATAATATTTGTATTAATAAGTAAATTTAATATCTTATAAATAAAATAATTTTTTCTAAATATTTTTTTCATTGATACTATGAAGCAATCATGTTTGCGAATGAAATCTCAAAAATAGATCAAATAAATATTATATATCAATTAATAATTTTAGAAGATATTTCTGGGTTATATTTTAATTTGAAGTATCAAGATGTTTAGCTAAGAAAGTAAAATATTTTTAATTAATTAAATAAAAAATCAGAATACTAGGTTAATATAAAGAAGAGGGTTATTGGGTATATAAAGCACAACATCTTAATCCTAATTTTTTCATTATTGAAATTCATTATGTATTAAAGATATAATTTAAATAATTTTAAATGAAATGCTTAATATGAATTTTTTAATTTTTATGATAAGTGTACGTAAATATCGAAATAATAATTCAATTAAAACAATGAAGATATTGAGGAAAAGGTGGACTTATTTTTATCTACAGTATAAAAAGGTAAAATAATAAATATCTTCTTCACTTACAATTAAATAATTACCCTCTTAATGATTAAAAAAATTTCTTAATTTTAAAGGAATCTAAAATTAGAGAGAAAGTAATAACAATATCAATTATTTAACAATTTTAATTATTAGTCTATTTGTGTAGATTTATAAGATATCAAAATTCATGGAATAGAATATCTTAATTGAAATTCAGTTTGATATCAAAGGATTAAAGTAAGAAAATGTGAAATAAAAAAGATTTAATTAAAATTGATTAGGGACATTTATTTGAGAAAAATATAAATCATACTCTAGACCTGTATAATTTTATTTGACTGAGGTGCAAATAAAATACAATTCCTGAACCAATGGACGAAACACATGAATAAAAAGATTCTGTAGAAACAATATGAAATTTGTAAATAATTATAAAAAGGCATTCTTCTCCTTAATTGGTAAAATAAAGTTATAATAATTATAATTTATAATATTAAAAATTCAATTTTGAGATTATATTTATAATATTAAAATTCCACTAAAATTAATTATTCATATTAAACAAACCCAATAGAATTTAAATGGTCAGTTTCACTTGAACCAGTTTGATAACTAAAAATTAATTAAATAATAAAATTCTTAATGAAATTCAGCTGAAATTGTTAAAAGTAAAGAAGAAATAAAAATTTATTCTCATAGTCTATATCCAAAATATTAGAGATAATTAAAAATATTTATAAGTATCATCATCCTTTCTTACACAATCGTTTATTCATTCTCTACTGGAATCTGCAAAATTGAAAAATTGTTTAAAAGAATTTTTTTAATTATTTCAAATAAGAAAGTCATTATTATTATTTATATCAGCATTTAATAAACTTAAGTTGATCTAAATATATTAAGTTCAAGACTGTTTTACACTATTTTCAAATAATATTAATATGATATTTTTGAATCTTTATGCAAAAATAGATTTTATCAATCCAACCCTAGTTTTCCTTTTTTTTTTTAATAAATTTAATTGAATATTGTTCTCTATTTTCAGTTAAAATTTTTTAAAGCTATTTGAATTAAATATCATCTTTCAGATAGTCATTTATATTGAATCTTTTAATTTATGCATTTTATATATTCAATTATTTAATAGTCTCAAATATATTTTATATAATTGTGGTATTTGGAGAAATCTTGCACGCATTTTTATATTAAACATGAAATAAATTTAATCAATTAAAACAAAGAATATTGAAACTCTAGTAAGTTTGCTTCTTTTAATAAATGGAAAAAGGTTGAAGATTTACCTCCTCTGGTTGATGAAATTGATTTTCTAGACGATGAAAATACTAATAAACGTAATAAATTTGTATAGAGAGATACAAATATTTTAATATTTGTTGATCTGAAACAATTTGGAATTTAAGAATTAAAAGCAGAAATTATAGACATGTCATAAATCATTATAGAATTCATTAAAACAATATGCTCAAAATATTTCTTATATATAGATTTCCATAATGTGTAAATGATGACTAATGGATGGTTAGTAGACTATAATATGAGATTCAACCATTATGATATTTCTAGCAATTCAGTCTTTTAATTCATTAAATTTTATCCTAAAATCTCTAATGAATAATTTTATATAACAATTCATATACATGATTATCTTCTAAAGAGATAGTATGATAGTTATGTTCATAGCTCAATGAAAGTTAGTGAGGTTATGGAATAATTATTTGATTATTTATTGGTAGATAAAAGGTGTAGAGATTTTATGGTAGATGTAATTTTTGAAGGGAAAATGTTAAAAGATGAAAGCTTGCTATATGAATATAACATAAAAAATAACAGTCGATTGGATGTTTAAATCAGACGATTAGGTGGTTGTTTTCCTGGTAATGCACCAATAAAACTTTTTAATGGAACAACTAAAATAATAAAAGATATTGAAGTAGGTGATATTGTTTAATGTTATGATTTTGAATAATAATAATTCAAATAGTCAATTGTTGTGGTAAAGCAAACATCAACTGAAAAATAATTATTAATAGAGATTATTACTCAGAATGGTAGAATTGTTTGTACTCCAAATCACCCTGTTTACACTTAAAATGGATGGAAAGCATTTTAACCACATCCAAATTTATCTATTGAAAAGTTAAGTATTAATGATCTTCTATTTGATTCAAATGGAAAGTTTGTTAATATTGTTTAAATTAATTTTATAAAAGAAGCTGAGACTGTTTATAACATTACAACCAAATATCCAAATAATTTTATTGCTTTTGACTTTTTTGTTCACAATATGAATATTTTATAAGTTGAAATTAATGGCTAAATAGTATAAATGGAAATAGAAATATCTTGTTTAATTTCAGAAATAAAAGATGCTTTTAACCAATTGTTAAAAATACCTGTTTAAAATTTATAGTTATATTATAAAGGAATATTAATGAAAGATAAATTTTCATTAGAAGATTATCATGTACAATTTAATGGAAAAGGTGGTGAGGATGACCCATTGATATTAAAAGTCATAAAATAATCTGAAGGAGATCAATAAGAAATTTATCAAAATAATAATTTTGAAAATATTTTTAAAATAAAATTAATCAAAAAGGGAATTCAATAAATAGATGGCTTTTGTGATGATAAAATTATTTCAATAACATCAAAGAAGTTAAACTATAAATTAAATATTAAAAAGAATCAAAAAATAAATATAAGATAATTATTAGGAACTTTTGAATCTAAAGAAGATATTGAAAGATCTTTAATATTGTGTGATGGAGCAGTTATAAATTCTTCAAGTTTAGATTATGATATCTAAGAATTAGATGCTTAAAGTATTATCTTAATTGATCAATAATAATTTGGAGGAATTGCAATAAAATTCACTTTAGAGATAAATGATCAATAAGTTGAAAATATATCTTAACTTAAAGATTCTTTGTAATGGTTGTGTAATTCTGAAATTAATGAATTTATATAGGAAAGTTTGGAAGAAATAAATGCAAATTAATAAAGGAAATAATATTATTAAAAAATCCCTCTTCATTGTATTATAGCACTTAGATTAAATACAAGCAATTTAATATATAGAGAGTTAAATAATGATTTAAGAACATCAGATTATCAAAATTGGAAGAAATATTTAAAATGTTTAATGGAAGGACTTCGATATATGTAATTTTACAGAGGAGTTGCATATCGTGGAATTAAGAATTATTAAAATACTTAAGAATATTAAAAAGGAAAGACTATATAATGGAGTGGAGTTAGTAGTATTTCATTAAATTATTAAATTGCTGAAAATTTCAGTAATAATAAAGGAATGATTTTTTAAGTTGATTTTATTAGTGCCAAAAACATAGAAAATATTTCAATTTTTGAAAGAGAATAAGAATTAATAATGTATCCCTTTTCTGCTTTTGTTATTAATGAAGTTCAAGATAATCTAAATAAACCTATTTTTGTAACAATGACAGAATTACCTTTACCTAGATCATACTAGGTGTTATTATGGGTTGATGATAATCCTCAAAAAAATTATAAATTTGCGGAAGACTTAGAAATTTTAAATAGTAAAATTTCTGTTATATTCTGTACTACAACAAAAGATGCAATTCGCATTATCAAAAAATATAGATGGATGATATATTTAACATCATCTTAGTTTAGAGTAGTAAGTAACCTTGCAAGAATAGAAGAGGGTAAGATGAACTATAATGCAGGTATTGAATTATTATGTCATTTATATTAATAAATGAAATACAAAAATTAGAGTCTAATTTTTTCTGATGATTTCTAAAGAGTTAAGGAAGAGCTTAACAAACTAAAATTTTAAGGAAATTTCGAAATTACAAACGATGTACAAGTTTTGTTTAAGTTTCTCAAATTTGAATGATTAAATAAATAAAATATACAAAAATAATAAATTATTATTATTTTGGTAATTTAGGTAAATTAAGCAGACTTACACAAAAGAAAGATAACTTGCGACCCATAAAAAAAATGATATACACATTGAACATAAATATATTGCTATAAGAAAATAAATGGTGATTATTATATAAACTTCAATAAATAAAAGAATTAAATAATTTCTTTCAAAATGATTTATTTTTTGAATATAGAATTGTACTTGTTCTTTACTAAATTTCAAATAATTTTCCATAGTATAACCTTTAATTATGTTTAATTCTTTAGTTGAACTATCAGATTTACAAGATGTTAATAAGTATTTTTGAAATAGTTATTATGAAATAATCTAAACCAACAATTAAATTTTAATATTAAATAAAGATTAATTCGGTCTGAATGTTTTTGACTTTTCAAATAAAATTTATAATAAAATAAAATAATTATGTAGAGAATTTAAAGCTATTCCGTAAATTTTTAAAGGATATTGTTCTAATGAACTACAAACTTTGATTCATTAAAGAGTTTCATGGTTTCTTTTTTAAATGTTTGAATGGATTATAAAAAGCAAAAACAATACTTTAAAACTACAATGTTTCAATTTTATAATTGATTTAGATAAATTTTCAATTCTGAAGAATTTATTTTTGTATATTTTCCTTTCATTAATTGATTTTAATTAAGAGGAGCATGTCTTAATGCTTTAAGAAATAAATATATAATAAAAATCATCAATAGATTGTCTTCAAAACGAATTATAACTGGAATAATTTAAAAATTTTAGATTACTACTTTCATAATTAATTGTTAATTGAAAACTTAAAAATGAGTTTAGTTCTCTTTCCTTCTTTTTCCTGGTTTTGAAAACTCTCCAATCTATTTATGATCAAACTAATCTTATTAGACACATCTTTCATATCTCTATCAATATGTTCTGCACAAACTTTTGTTAGATCTGGTTGGTCATGCATTTTAGTTCTCTAACGTTTTTCTCTATCATCCTTTTAAGTTTATAAGATAATTTATTAAATTATGGAGTATCTCTATTAATCTAAGTACCCCATAATTTGAAATCTTTCCAATATTATTAGTATCTAGATTATTATAACCTTACCTACTTAATATTATAATATTTTTTAACGCTCCTCTTTATACTCTTTTATGTATCATTGTCTCTATACCTACAAATCCAGAGTCAATCTTATAAAATTTAGATTATTTACTTTTCTCCAGATGTTTCAATCATCTATAGATAAGAGAGAATTCCAAAAATTAATAATTATCCAATCATGTTCTTCATGCCTCTAGTTTACCCCCATATTTAAAATCATAATGTAAAACCTAAAAAAAGAATAAGATCTAATCTAGATATTTTTATCTGCTAATTTAACAAAGATGATATAGTTTCTATTATTTCTAAACCCTTATCAACAAAAGAATTATTTGTAATAAGGCTTAAGTTAATACTTGTTAATCTATAATTCTTAAACTTTAAAATATTATTTTTATTTTATGTATTTCATTTCTTATGTACTTTATAAAATTATTTTAATGACGTCATGATTCTGAAAAAACAGAGAATCATGAAGTTCAATACATATAAGATGAATTCTTATTGTTAAAGAAAAAAGATTTGTTATTATAAATTTGTTTTTGTTATAATTTATATTTAATTTATTTAATTTTATATATAAACTAAATCGAAAAACATTAACCTTTTGAATTTCTACTTTTGGCTTAAATGAAAAATGCAAATGCCTATTTTTTATGACTACTTCTTAATAAGATCATAATGATTATTAAGTGATATCTTTAATCAAAAAGCAGGATTAAATAATTATGCACAAATTCATTTTAGATGTGTTGTATTGCAATTTTTATTAATTGCATAAAAGTTCTAACAAGCTACACTACTATAAATAAAACATTTTCTTAAGCTTAATATTATTGGAATCAATATTTAACCGAAAGTACTTTTATATCCATGAATTTATATTTTTAAGATAATTGAATAGGTTGAAATGTTAATTTTACATTTGAATCATTTTTATATCTTTGCCTAATTAAATGATGAATTTTGTGATAAAATTGCTTGTATTATCAGATTATAATATTAACACTCAACATACTCAACAGAATATATAGTCAGCTATATAGCTCAGAAGATAAAGGGGATGCTAATATTCCAAAGAGACAATAATTTCCCAGATAAAAACCCATAATAATTGGAGACAAGGTAGCACCAAATAGACTGATGTGTAACAAGAAGGAAATGTATCAAATCTTTGGAGATTTTTACAAATAAAATAATAAATAAACTTAATACAATATTGCTACAAATAATATTTAAAAGATCTTCACAATTAAGATATATCGACTGATTATGAATTTAGATCATAATTAAATGAATGTATGATATAATGAGATAACATCATTATAAAATAAATGGAATTAATTGTGTTATTAGAACTACTTTTAATGATGCTAAAATTAAAGCAGGATAGAATGTTAGAATAAGTCATGTATTTGCTTAAAAAATTAATGCATTTAATTAGATGGTACAATTTTAAAAAATTTATCTAAATAATAAAAACATTCTAATATATCAAAATGAATTTAAAAATATATTTTATTAAATTAATTAAATAAATTTCTAATTAATTAAAACTATCTCATTATTTTAATAGTTAGTCATGTAAAGTTATCAGTCCAAATTGTGTATTTAATATTTAACAATTTGGATCTATAGATTATACTTGTGATTAATGTATCTGATGTAAAAGATCATATTATTGATTCAAGAGGAAATCATTGTTTTATTATTATGAATATATATAAAAATAATGTAAAACTGCTAGAAAAGATAATTTTATATAATGTTTATACCTTTAATTCGAAATTAAAATTTGAAGATTGGAATCCTGTAGTAGATAATATCAATCCTGAAGGATGTGAAAAGAAAAAGGAGAATGTTCTTTATATTTTGATGAATAAGTTTGTAAATTAACCATCTCAGAAGGATCTTGTGATTGGGATAACCAAAACGAATAATGCAAAGACGTTGATACATCATTTTCTTGTTAGTGATTAATAATTTAAACAAATAGAACAACTATAACATATTTGAAGTGTAAATCTATTAATTCTCAATGCACAATAGATGATATTATATTAATACTTCAATTTGTATTGAACTGCGTTAATCTCCAGACAATAATTCTTATAAATCTCATTAATAAACTGAATCCTATTGTCATAGTAAAAGCTGCATTCTAAAAGTAAGTTTAATTTATTGTGTTGATTTACCATTATCTTGGCTTTAGCTAGATTATTCAATCTAATCGTGTTGATAATATTGTGGAAAATTATTTGCAGTAAATTAATTATTTGATGGATGTATTCAAGCGTCAAATAATTGTTATGAAAATTAATAAATTTAATGTATGCTAAACTTAATGGAAATACCTTGTTTATAGGATGAAGTCAAAATTTAATGTTTGAATATATTTGTCAAAATACACTTCTTACTAATTAAACCAAAAAGAATTAAAAAAGTATTTGTTAAAAAATTGAGTATTATTTTTAAGATTGTAAAATCAAAAAAGATATCCACTAAATTTTAATAAATCAATTAAATTTACAGATTTTAGAATTCTGAAAAAAAAATATTGTTGAGAAATTAATCTTTCTGATAATTTTATGAAAACAAACAATCTGAAATTCAAGATATCTTAAAATTTAAATACTTATTCTTATTTAAACTTTGGAATTTTTTATAAAAATCAAAATTATATTTTGATATCTTAATGTTAAATTATTTGTCCTCCAAAAAAAAAAATATTGCATTATTATTTAAATTTATATCTTCTTGAGTTTATAAAACTACAAGTGAAGATTGCGAAGAAATAACGTTAATGCATATTTTACTTAATATTTACTAATTAACAATTGAATCAAGATCAAAGTTACATGAGATACCTAGTAATTATAAAGATGAATCAATCTATAAATATCTTTTTTGATATTGTGAAATTTATTTTTTGCTTATATTTTTAATATAAAGAAGACATAGCAATATTACTTTTGATATGATAATCAAAAAAGAAACAGGTACTACAGTGATTCAAATATATTATATCTTATTATATATCTGAAAATTATATCATTATAGACAAATGCCTATAAATTAATTCAATTTCATAGATTTCAGTAAAAGAGTTAATTGAAAAGATTGAGTTAATTAATATTGATGATATTGGATAATGAAATTAAATTAATTAACCTAATTTAGATAAATAAATATTCAATTTTTTTGCAATTATTAATACAACTTTAAACCTTTGGATTGTATATAAATATTTAAGAACTTAAACTTGATTTATTCAATTAAATATAATTTAAACTAAGAAATAAACTATTTCAGAAATTCTGAGAAAATGAATAAAATAAAATCTTCCTGTAAGATAAAGATGTATCAACATAGCTAAGTAGTTATATATAAATAATTAAATAAATATTAAGGAAAATGATTGGAAATTTCTATATTATAACTCAGTCTATTTTTGTATTAAGATGAAATAAGTTATTTTGACATTTGCCTATTTATTTGTAGATTATTTTCTTAATATGAATAGAATAAAATGATAGAAAAGATAATTTTTCAAGAGTATCAGCATTTTTAATGACATGATTTTGGGCATTTAAATTAATATTTAAAATATAATAGAATTTCAGATGTAAAATCATCAATATGTCTAAAGTTAATTTATAATTTGATAACGATCAGATTTTAAATATGTCTGTTGATAAGATTAATATCGTGTTTATTATTAGAATAAACTTTAAAATTGTTAAATCTAGAATTGTTAATTGCTTTTAAAATAGATTTTTCTATATTGGTAAAATTAAATTACATAAATATGAATACTATAATTTTATGAACTCAATTTTTGTATTTTATATGATTTTCATAGGTTATTGGAACTAAATTCTACTTTTAATGATTAAAGTACCTAACAATTATTCAATTATTTTGTTATTTGGTATTATCGTATTAACATTTTCTAACAAGGAATAGGCTATTTAATATTAACCAAATTTAAATAAGCAAAAAGCTAAAATATTAGTAAAATTATACCTTTTCCATATAAAGAATCTACTTGTTATGAATTGATACCCAATGCTTACTCATACTATTAAAGTGCCTATTCATATTGATCCATCATTCTTAGGCAATGACCTATAATTAAATAAATTTAATTTACCATTTCCATATAAAGAATCTACATGGTTTGATTTGATACTCAACGCTTTCTCATACCATAAAAGTGCCTATTCATATTAATTCATCATTCTTAGGCAATCACCTATAATTCATTAAATTAAATTTACCTTTTCCAGATAAAGAATCTAAATCTTATGAATAAATACTCAATGCTTTTTCAAAATACTCCATTGCTTCCTAATAATCTTCAATACTATATAAATATAATCCTAAAATAAAAATAATTATTACCTTTTGCATATATTCCTAAAAAGCCATTTTATTTAATATCTAATGATTTTAGTACATTATTTAATGCTTAATCATTGAGTCCTAAATATAATAAGCATATAGCTAAAATTAATAAATATTAATTGGATACCTTTTCCCACATAAGAATCAGTATGATTGAGATCTTTTTTTAAAACTGAATCATAAAGTTGAATAGCATCTTGATATCTTTAGAATAATCTTAGACATTCTCCTAATTGATATAACATTTATAATTTACCCTATTAATAGAAATATTCTTTATTAAATATTCTTTACTAAATTAATTTACTTATATAGCTTTAATATAATGCTATAAAGCTTCATAATATTGGTAAGTTTCTTTTAAACATTCAGCTTAAAAATATAGAAGAAATAAAACCTATTTCAAACTAAGATGCTGAATTACTTAATTAATTGATATGCATTTCATATAATAGTCCTTAGCTTCCTCATAAGATTTTTATTATCTTAAAATATCACCTAAATAATAAATAAAACTAAATCTACCTATTTTCCAAAGCGATAAAACATGTTTNTTGCTTTTAAAATAGATTTTTCTATATTGGTAAAATTAAATTACATAAATATGAATACTATAATTTTATGAACTCAATTTTTGTATTTTATATGATTTTCATAGGTTATTGGAACTAAATTCTACTTTTAATGATTAAAGTACCTAACAATTATTCAATTATTTTGTTATTTGGTATTATCGTATTAACATTTTCTAACAAGGAATAGGCTATTTAATATTAACCAAATTTAAATAAGCAAAAAGCTAAAATATTAGTAAAATTATACCTTTTCCATATAAAGAATCTACTTGTTATGAATTGATACCCAATGCTTACTCATACTATTAAAGTGCCTATTCATATTGATCCATCATTCTTAGGCAATGACCTATAATTAAATAAATTTAATTTACCATTTCCATATAAAGAATCTACATGGTTTGATTTGATACTCAACGCTTTCTCATACCATAAAAGTGCCTATTCATATTAATTCATCATTCTTAGGCAATCACCTATAATTCATTAAATTAAATTTACCTTTTCCAGATAAAGAATCTAAATCTTATGAATAAATACTCAATGCTTTTTCAAAATACTCCATTGCTTCCTAATAATCTTCAATACTATATAAATATAATCCTAAAATAAAAATAATTATTACCTTTTGCATATATTCCTAAAAAGCCATTTTATTTAATATCTAATGATTTTAGTACATTATTTAATGCTTAATCATTGAGTCCTAAATATAATAAGCATATAGCTAAAATTAATAAATATTAATTGGATACCTTTTCCCACATAAGAATCAGTATGATTGAGATCTTTTTTTAAAACTGAATCATAAAGTTGAATAGCATCTTGATATCTTTAGAATAATCTTATATTGATATTTTATTATTTATTATAGACATTCTCCTAATTGATATAACATTTATAATTTACCCTATTAATAGAAATATTCTTTATTAAATATTCTTTACTAAATTAATTTACTTATATAGCTTTAATATAATGCTATAAAGCTTCATAATATTGGTAAGTTTCTTTTAAACATTCAGCTTAAAAATATAGAAGAAATAAAACCTATTTCAAACTAAGATGCTGAATTACTTAATTAATTGATATGCATTTCATATAATAGTCCTTAGCTTCCTCATAAGATTTTTATTATCTTAAAATATCACCTAAATAATAAATAAAACTAAATCTACCTATTTTCCAAAGCGATAAAACATGTTTTGGATTAATCTTATTTAATTAAGTTATTGAATCTCACATTTAATTATTTCTTTAATGAATTGCCTAAAAAATAGATATGATTAATAACCTTTTTAATACATAATTTCTATATTATATGGTTCATCTAATAATAATTTATCAAATATTTAAAGTGCTTCAATTTATTTATTTCTAATATTTAAAGAGATACCTAAAAGATCATAAAATAAATGCAATCCTTTTTGCAATTCATTTTGATTAACTGTTATCTATTCCTCTATCATTTAATATTTAATTAAATGTAATTCCAATAAATTATAAAGATCATCTAAGATTTTCTAAAACTTCTTCAAATAAGCAATTATATTATTTTCTGTGTGTTTCCTAATTTCATCAAATTGAACAAAAGAATCAAGTACTTATAAGATTTAATAGTTCTAGAGTTTATTAATTATATCTTCTAATCCACAAAACTTATAAGATAAACTAGAAGTAAGTTTATCAAAAGATTTAATTGTAAATCCAAATTAATTTTAACATTCAGATATTAGATCCTTCGGGTATTTTGATTTCTCAGACAGAAATTTTAATAATTCATGAAAGCCATGAACATCTTCATTGAAATGTTGGATGTGTTTCTTTTCTTTTTGGCAAACAAGGCAAAAAACTCTGTTTACTTAACAATAGGCTTGTTTACACCAAAATAATGCAGGTTCTTAAGGGTGATCCTTAAATTGAAAACCCTATTTCTATTAAAATTAAAAATTTTATTTCATAATTAAATTATTAAACAATTACTTAACTAATTCTCAATTTAAATTAAAAAAAGAATCATAACAAGCAAATATTAAGATAATGCTTCATATTTAATAAGATAATATAATTTTAATGAATCAGATGTAAAAATACTGATTGAGGAGTCAATTTATTAGAATTAACATTAATATCTTTTTGATTATAATATAAATACTTGATTTTTATTATTGTGTAGAAATAAAATATATAAGTTTTAAGAATAAGAAATATTAGATATAAAGATTTTCCCTTATTTTATAACTATATTTCTCAATTCTTAAAATTGATAAGATATTATTAATAAAAGATACTTTTCATGAAACTAAATTATTCTAAACGAAAATAAATATATAAAATAATAAATAAATAAGATCTTAATTAATTTATATTTAATTTGGTTCTTATTCAAGATTATCGGTCATTTATAAATAGAATATACAACATAATATATTGAAAGAAATTAAATATTTTCAATAAGACAATATTAGTATAAACTAAATTATTTTAATCTTTAAAAAGTAATGAAGTAATAAAGAAGTCAGATAAAGTTAAGAACGAATACTTATTTTTTCATATAAGCTACTTAATAATAAAAAGAAACTTCTTAAATTATTTATTTTGTTCATAAGACATTTTTTAAATCAAAGATCTTCAATAAAAAGTAATTCTGAAATCAATTAATCTATGAGTTAATTTAAATTATCTTTTAATTGTCATTTTAATTAATTTAATTAATTAAGTTTTATGAAAATGTTAAAATGATTTGTTGAGTGAAACTATGGAAGTTGATAGTCCCAACCCCAACCCCAACCCCAACCCCAAACCCAAACCCAAACCCAAACCCAGATATTAACTTCCATAGTTTCACTCAACAAATCATTTTAACATTTTCATAAAACTTATTTTCAATTATTAACTAAGAAATGCTTTATTTTATATCCAGTAATATTTATATGTTCAAAAAATGATTTTGAATTTTCACAACATTTATCAAGATTTTATATGATAAATTTAAAGCATTTAAACTTTGCATGGATCTTTAAAAATATATCTATTATAACTTAAAAAAATAATAACTAGTTCTAGATTCAGAGCAATATCATTTATTTATAATTAATAAACTAATTATTTCTGAAACAATTTGAAAGAACAATTTTATTTACAATTAATGAGGATCAGATTTTGAAGAGATTACAATTCAGATAAATGAAGAATGTTGTAAAATTCTATAATCTTACAGCAATGTTATAAAAATAATCATATTTATTTAAGCAATTTTTTATCTGTTATAGAAAACGGCCAGAGCTTTCTAAGAATAATCCAAGTTAAATTTTTTAGTTAAATTATCTAGAACTTAACTACATTTTATTTTTAACTATATTAAATTCAATTAAAAGAATTTAACCTTTCTTTTGCAATTATGATAAGGAAATTCAATATACTAATCCAAATGCTTCACGAAATTACTCAGATATTAATTTAAAGTTATAATTAAATATTTTCTATTTTTATTAATTTCTTAGATCATAATTTATTTTTATAAACAAATGAGTTCCAAATTACTCTGACATTTTCTTTTTTGCTTTAATTATTCTTAATCACTTTTTCAATCCATGATTAAAAAATTTGAATTATTCTAATAAAATCTTTTGGTTAATAAAATCCACAAGTAAATTTTAAAAAATAAAGAAAACTTGTTTTAATTGCACCAATAAAGGATTATCGCGATCATTCCTAAAAGTATTTTAATTATAACAAAATAAAGGTAAGTAATTATCTATTCGATTAAAAAAGATTTTTCTTAAATTATTCTTGAATTTTGGTTTTTCTATTGGGTAGTAATGGTTTCAAAAATGTTCAAGCATTTAAAAAAATAACGATTAATAAGATTAGGGTTGTTAAGTGATGCCAAATTCTTAATGGGATTTCAAATTTTATTAATTTATTTATTGCTTAATTATGGTTTATTAATCTGATTTTTGAGTTTTGCTCATAATATCACAATGCTCCACCCTTTAATTCAAGTTTACGATTATTCAAATATTTATTAGGGTGTCACTAGTAAAATTAATAGATTAATATCATTTATAACAGGTTATCTTCATTTCTCAAATTTAACCAATTTATTTTTAGGCTTAATATTCCTCTGGACACTTTTTTCCTGTAAAGGTTTTCTAAATCATTTAAAAATGGTATTAAAAATTCTCTTATCATCAATTTTTTTTTCTATTCCTTAAGTTTTTGTAAATTAGATTCAAATTTATTTATAACAAAAATTAATTAATCATCCGAATATTTCGCAAAGGAGATTCAAATTAAAGTCGAAGTATTTTACTTTCAGCATCCTAACGTTCCTTTAGGTTTGATTATTGTTTAATATCTAAGAATTTTTTAATGAATAAATAAATGACTTTGATACATAATAATAGAATAAGTTATCTATTAAACTTTTATAATACTACCATTTTGTATTAAAGAATTATCATCTATTTCAAAATATGTTTCTACTCATATTTATTCAAATTCTATTAAATTCTTTTTTATGCTTTTTGTTTCTTTACAAAAATATTTTTGCAAAAAATTATTGAATTTCTAAAACTTTCTTTTTTGAGTTATAACCAATACAAAATAATGATAGAAAATTTAAATAAAATTTAAAATTATTCTCAATCTTTCTATAAGTTCTTTAGTCATAGCTCATTACCAATCAAATAACTATCAAAGGATTAATTCTCCTTGATTACTAAAAGAAAATAATTATTTTCTATTTAAATTTTCCTATTCTTAAATATTAATTATCTGATCATATCGAGAGAACTACTATTCTTGATCTTTAAAATTGATCTATAATACCAATGAAGGATTAAAAAATTTAGCTCATAAATGGATGATCTGTTATAATAAAATTAAGACCTTTGATCTTATAAATAATCTATATATTTCCAAAGTCATTGTGGCTTAAGAAAAAAGGAACTACTATAAAGCAGAACATTTCTTAAGTTTAGAAGTAAATAGTTGCTTCTGATCCATGGGTTTTATTAATACTCATATATAATAATTTCTTTTTTGATAGAAGATATAAAAATATAAAATTTAATTTGTTTAAGAGCCTTACAATAAATTAACAGCCTAACAATAAAAAAATATTTTTTTATTAATTTCAATTGTGTCACATCACTACAATTTTTATAACCAACTTTCATAGTTGTATTTATATTCTTTTTTTTATCTAATATCATAATAAATTAATTAAATTATTTTTTTAGGGATCTTAATTCTTAGTTATTCATCATATTTTTTTAATTATTTTATTTTTTAACAAGTATATTAAATAAATTAAAAATTAGTTATATTCTTCTAACTTGATTGAAATTTATATAACCATAAAATTGAATAAATATTTACTGCAACCGTTTTTAATAATAATAATAGTAGGATGAGTAATTAAAATAAAACATTAATTTTAAAGAATCTCTTTTGGATTTTTATTTTATAAATATATATTAAAATATGTTTAGAAATCCATCAAATTTGTTATAATCATTATTATTCAAAGAAAACTCAAAAATAAAAAAGCAACAGAAGAATATAATCTAATAAATAAATAAAAGTAAGATCCACCATCCAAAGTCAAAAAAATTTTAATTCTTCTCAAATTTCCGCTCTAATTAAGAAACTCAAATATTTTAAAGAAGCAAATTGCTCTAGTATTTTAACTGCCAGAATCAAGATTAGTCATTAAGTTAGCATTAAAATATGGTTATTATTTTAAAAAGATGTCGAATTAAAGTAAAATATTATAAACTTTCTAATTTGTAGGGATATATTTAAGTAAAATGATAAGCAATAGGCTGAATGAACAATATTTAATTTACATTTTTTGAAGATTAGTATTCTTTATATATAAATGGTTAAAGGGAAATATAATAGAGATTCTTATAGGAAAAGGAACAAATCATTCTTAATTATTTTTAAATACTAAAAGGAATATAATAATATCATTTTATTCCATTTATCTTATTTCAATAATTGTGATCAGAGAAAACCAAAAGAACCTTAAAAAAATGAATCATCAAACACACAACAAAAACAAATTTTATCAACGGAACTCCTTTTCTTGTTGACCACTAATCAAAAGTAAAATATTAGGATTCAATTTTCAACTTATCCATAATTCAAGTACAAAAATACATCCTATCCAGTAATGAAATGATGATTCTTTTTTATTCATTAAATGAAATCATTTCAAGTTAATTTATTAAGTTACTCTCTAAATAAAACTAAATGGATTTTTTAAACTAATATTAGAGTGGGAGTATTAATTTTGCCAATTGACATTAATTTTAAATATAATACAAAATTGAAACAAATTTTCTGAAGGACATCCTTTAATTTTAAATATAATACAAAATTGAAACAAATTTTCTGAAGGACATCCTTTAATTTAAAATTCTATCTTAAATCAAGTTTAGCAATAAAAATTAAGAAGATTTTACTTAATTATTATCAAATTTGATTAATATCCAACCTGCTTAATTTTATCCTTAACTTTAGAATCGAAAAATTAATTATATTTCTTAATAATCTCAAATAGTAATAAAAAGTATTATATTAGGAGAAGTTAATTTAATTTATTGACTCTGCAATATATTGAAGGACATCAAATTAAAAAATCTGATTTAGAGAATGAGTTGATATTTTAAAATGCAACTTGAAATGCTTGTACAATAATGATCATATAATACTTGTTTTACTTAGAGAAAGCTAGTGAGTATTTTATCTAAAATCATTAATTTCAAGACAATTGATTTCTCAGAATGTTCTTTAATAAAATATCTTTTATCAATCCAATACTGTATTATTTCTATCATTATCTTTTATTTAATTCAATCATACCTTAATTGAATTATTAACGCAGACTCTGAAATAATATGTTATTATTTTTCTCATTTTCATAATTAATTTTATTTTCTTGTTTAGATACTTTTCATAAGATTTGAGCTCAAACAAATATTAAGGTCTTTAATCTATATTCAATCCCCACACTTTAATTTGATTTAAATTATAAGTTCAACAATTTTATATTTGTTTAAAAGGTTGATAAATCTAGGTTAAGAAAATAAATAAACTATAGGAGGCCATTATAATGATGAGAATTAAAAATAAATCTAATTAACTAAGGATAGAAATTAGTTGACTCATTAGGCTATTTATTATTGAGATGTTCATTTAGGAATTGGAAAGAAGATCAATTTATTGCTTATGGTTAATTATGTAGGAGAGTTCCAATATTACTTGAAAAAGATATGTGTGGCTAAATAATATAAGCTATGAAGGAGAATGACAAAAATAAATAAATGGATTTGGTCAAAACACTTGGGGCTAATGGCAGAAAATATGTGAAAAAAGTAATTTATTCTTTATATTAAGTATTGTTTCTGTCTGGCTAACAAATAAAGTTTATTTGTCAAATTTTTTTTCAACTTTAGGGCTAATATTTTTTTACTAAAGCTAAAAGCTATCTGATGAATGGTGTCACTCTTGAAAAGTATACAAATAATTTCAACCAATAATCCTAATAACTTCTCTCTTTTATAGTATTAACAAAAAAATCCATCAAACCTGTATATGGCATTGAACCATCTTCTAAACATTTTATCTTCTAAAGTTTAGCTTCTCATTGTCAAAAGGCAATGAAATCACAGATGAGATTATTCCTGCTTAACATGATGCTCTATATATATAAATATACAATTTTTTACATTATCCTATCAAATGTGCTTTCTATTTTTGAATCTTTGAATTGCATACTCATTTACTTCAATTAATCATATGTAGTTAATTATCATATGGTTATTGCAACAGCTCTAATTACAGTTGGCATAGATCCTTTCCAAAAAGCTAAAATTCCTTCTTCTTTATATATTCTTCCTAAGAAAGTTATCTTGCCATATCTTTGTAACAAAGAAATAATCCTTAATCTCAACCCATATGAATTCCAAAAAATATTCAAAAACAAATGTAAATTTTCAATTACTCACAAAACAACTCTAATTCTCTAATTACCTTCAATCTTAATCTAACACTCATTTGACTCACTATATGATCTGCCATCTAATATATTCTTAAGCATTTATATTTACATAAAATTTACATTTATTTTCCCTTGTACATCATATTTCATCTAACTACTTTCATACACCACATATTAACTTCAACTTGAGAGATAACTTACTTCTTCAAATAAAACTCTTCATCCAACACTACCCACTTTCCAACTTTTTTTAAACATTCTTATTAATGATACCATTCACCATCTAGTTATTATATTCGATCAATAAATTATTCTATTTTAGCAAATATATTTCCATATACATAAATTTTCATAATTATGCTTTTACCATCTTTAAATGAAAAAGCCTAACTCATTAATGTTTAAAAGATATCATTATCCCTCTTTTATTATTACCTATTTTTCTCCATAAACCTAATATTTCATCATTTTCTCAGTATAGTATTTTTTGCAAATTTTTCATAGATTTATATTCTACTATTTAGATTTTATCTATAAGTCCATTTGCATACCTTCTACAAATTCTTTCCATACATTCCAAACCATTCAAGAAATTTATTTATTCTGAGTAATTGAATATTTCAGACTCCAAATTGAAAGGGTTTTGAATTCTATCATATTTTTATGGAAATGAATTTATTATACAGATAAATAATACATTATTATTTTAATAATATTATATGGAATTCATTTCCATCAGTGTAAAAATATTTTTTTAATGAAAAAATAGAAGCGATCAAACCCTACTTAATAGCTTATTATAATTAAAATATATTACTCTTCACTTCATGAAAGCAGAACAATAAAATTGTTGTAATCGATACAAATACTTACTAAAAAACCAAATAAAAAAGGATAAATTTTTTTTTGGAATTAATTATTTCTAACTTGTTTAAATAGTACAATTATAAATAGATAAAGAGAATATTTATTTAAAGATTATTAAATAAGAACTTAACGAAATTTTATAGAACTATAGCTAAATTATATTAAAACAGAGATTGCAAAGTGGAAAAATATAGTTGTTTTAAATAGCAAGGGGAAAATATTTATTTAGATCACTTGTATATTTATTATGACTGTTAGAATTTAGAATATTAGCTTTGAGAGTTTAGAATTTTCTTGTGATTTTCAATTTGGGATTTAGAAATTTTAAATAGATGTTATTTAAGTTTATTTATCAAAAATTTCGCTCTCTCATTTCTTTAAATTGATCTTTGTATATGCACTTTTAATTTTTTTGTTAAAACATTATCGGGCAAAATCTTATTCAAAATTAAATGTATATAATTTAAGATTATAAAGGTATATTTAATAGAGTAAACTACTATTATGCCCTTGACAAAAGAATAGCAAAGTTTAATACAAAGAAAAAGAATGATAGTAGAGAGCAATGTTGATGAAAACTAATTATTTTCTTGCTCTGATACATATTTAACAGCACTTAGAAAAATTGTAATTAAGCATATTTATGCTGAAAATAAATCCATGCTATTAAAATTAGAAAGAATATATGGTTTCTTTTTAAAAGCTAATAGCTAATAAATAAGTAAACATAACCCCAACAATGATGCTTTTAGCATAATATAAGTCTCAAAATATGTTAATATTAGAATAATAATAGTCTTTTTTATTAGTTTTATTTCTTCCCAAAAATAACTTCTGTGATTGTATTCATTGATTAAATAGCAAAAATGTTTTCTAATTTAAATGTTATCATGCTAATCTTTTTTAATGTACATGACTATAAAAAGAAAAAGTGGAATGATCAAACTAAAAACCAATATTCCTGGAATAACAAAGGAAAAAATCCAAATTAAATGTTCTTTAGATCCAAAAAATAGTGAAACATCACCTTGAATATAACTCTAATTTGATACATCTCTTTTTGAGAGAATTGAAAAATACCTAAAATAAATATAGTAGAATTACATTTTAATCAATCCACCATAATTGGAAATATAAAGGTAGAGCAAAGAATTAGAAATGATCTCCAAGTTAAACTTGCTCAATTCAATCTTTTTATACCAATAATAAAGGAGAAATACCATTATAATAAGTATGAATTAGAATGTCATGAGGACAAGCATTGTAATTATTTTAGAATAAATCAATTCTAACGATTGATTTTATGATAAATAACAATCTAAATTGTTAGTCATTTAGTAAGAAGTATTACTGACTGAATCAACAAAAGTAAATGAAAGTTGGAACTTTATATTGAATGTAAATATAACTGAGTATATCCATAAATAGTTTAATAACATTTTAATTAAAAAACTTTCATGCCCTTAAAATATAGGATTTACATACCTTATTCTAAGTTAAAAATAATTTTGCTAAACTTTTATTATAATTTTAAACTTCTGAATAATAGATTGGATTAATCAATACTTCTTAGAGTTATAATGATTGATATAAATGACCTAAATATTAAATTAAATTACCAAAATGATGTTGCTATGAATGGGATTATACTATCTTAAACACCAAAACAAGATATACAATATGAATCCTCTTATTTCTTAAAATATTTTCCATCTCCTCTTATATTATAAATATCACATTCTTCACACAATGCTCCTATATGTCCTTAATCACAGATTTAATTTCCATATTCCCAACCACCTTTACAAAACTTTTAATTTTTATAACATTCCTCTATTTAATCAGATAAAAAATTAGGTCTCCAATATCCTTCTAAAAATTCTATGTTATTTTTAGTTATGTTCTTAAATTTTGTTTTATCAAATATTGAACACTTTGTTGCATCATATACTACAGAGTAAAACCCTTAACTTGATTAGCAAATTTAACATCCAGAATTTACGTAAAATTCTCCAAGTTAGCATTTAAAGCTTTTTGCTTAAATAATGTAATTTAAACTATTCTATTGTTTAGGTGATTAACAGTTCACCTCAATTTATAAAAGTTTTTTTTCCTAATTATAAGGATCAAAAATGAATGAAAGAGAACCTAAATTATAGTAATCTTTTGATGAATCAAATTACAAAATTGTTTGTTATTTTTATTCGCCTGCTTAATCTAAGTTTTCTTTATAAACAGCTTGTTCAATCAAAATGCATGTTATATTTAGTATATTTGGAAGTGTTTCGTTCAAATGATTCTTAAGAATGAGACTAACATTTGTAATATATGAAAAATATTATGTGCTAGAGGGCTAATAAATTTGATATTCCTAAATTACTTAATTACTTGGGATCATTAAATAATTTGTAAAAAAAGGAATTCCTTATTCTATAATTTTATAGGGTGTGAGCACTAAATGATCATAAAGTTAATAATTTATGATTTATTTTTTAGATCTCATTTCCAAATCGTTGATAAGAAATGCTAAATGATGTGGAGATTCAATAAGATTGTTTCCAAATTATTTTGCATTATTAAATAGTAAAAAAGAGTTGATAAAATTATTATGTATAGTTTCATCCTAGTTATAGTAAATCCCTCCTCCATCTAAGGCTTCGTTATTTGTAATTATTGTTGATTTAATTTAAAAATCAGAACCCTTAAGTTATAAAAACAATCCTCCGCCTAATTTGTTTGCATAATTAGATATTATTTTACAATTTGTTATCCTTATTCCAACATTTTAAATTAATATTGCACCTCCAAGACTTCCAATATTCTCAATAAAATTAGAATCTTTTATTATAACAATCGAATTGATAAAGCTCTAAATCAAAAAATATATGCAACCATTTTCTTTCACACTATTCTAAAAGCAAAAAAAATTATTTATTTTAAAAATCTTAAACTGCTTAACTTCGAAAGTGATTATTCCATTTGAAAAGTCTGATCAATTATTATTAGTCATTTCTATCTGTTAAAAAATAAGAGAATTTTAGTTAGAAATACTTTACACATACATTATCTAATTTTTATTCTAATCAGAAGATTAAATCTAACCTATTATCTCTGAAAAAATAATTTACTATATTATTGATATATTCCTCCACAAACCACAGCCAATAATTTAATAATTCAAATTCTAAAAAATAGGGATTGAATCTGATTGTTTTTAATAGGTAACACTTTAAATTATCTTGAGTTTTTCAATGAAAATTTGTGATTTCGTTATTAAGGTTTAAGTTATGAGTATGAGATCAAATGAATATAATTTTTTTATAGATATTAGTTTACAATTTAAAAGCTTGAGCTTTAAAACATTTTGAAATTTTAAAATTGGAGATACTGCTATTCCTTCTATATATAAATTTTTTATTTCAATATTGCAATTTTCAAAAAATATCATAGAATTATCTTCACTCTTTATATTTTCTAATTCTGATAATGTTATTTGGCCAATTAAGGAAAATAATTTAATCCACATTTCTTCGCTTGAATAAATTGTTAAATTATTAATACTTACTGAGTTTTCTTTCATTGTTTATGCTGAAAATTTAACTTAAATAATTGTATTCATTAAAGAAAGGCAATTGTAAATTTCAATATTATTTAGTTTAATAACATTTTATTTTAAAGAGGGTGTAATAGTAAATAATGAAGCAACCATACTATTAAAGATGTTTGTAACTTTTATTTATTTAATTTAAATATCCAATAAGCTATTTGTTGAATCTATACTTATACATCCTGTGCTTCCGCTATCTTTTAGATTAGTATAAACAGAATCTATCTAGATATCATTAATGTTAATTATTCCTTATCCTTGAGTTTTGATCAAGAAAATAGAACTTTGAAAAGCGATAATTTCTTTAAAAATACTTTCTGTACAACTAAAATGAGAAGCTAATATATATATTCCTTAATTTAATATTTTAAAGGTTGATTGAATAATTGAGTTGATTTCTTGTTGATTATATTAATTATCTAATTCAAAATCATAAAATTTTTGCCATAAAGTTTATGATAAGACATTTGAATTCATAATTATTACATTAGTAATTTCAAGCCAAGTGGCAGTAACTGTTATGAATGGACTTGTTGAATTAGTTAAGGCATTTTGATCACAATATAGTTTATGAATTTAAACAAAACTATCTAATGAACTTATATGCAATAAATTAGTTTAAGTCTCAAGTGGTTCATCAATTTATTGATTTACAATATTTTGGATTAATTAAAAATCAGTTAATTTAATATTTAAATTATATTGAGAAAAAATAGTTACCAAAGATAATTAGATGGCTTATTTGTTCTTTAATAAGATGTTCCCTTTAAATTATATGTTTACTAATATTACTTATCTTATTGAATCAATAATGAACTAAGTACTAAAATATATATCAATTAACGAATAATTAATACTGAATTGATTTACAATTTTAATGTTTGATAAAAATAATTACTGAAAACCTATAACTTACAAAAGTTAACTCTTAAATACGACTATATCAGTACAAAATTATGAAATTGGTACTTTATGTTCTTATTTATGATTCTCAAAAATTATAGAATCTAAAACAATCTAATTGATTTCAAAAAGATAAAACACAGCCATATTTTGCAAATTTAAAAATTAAGCGTTCTGGATAACTAATGAATGGCAACGTAATTTAAAAAGTAAATTTTATACTTATAAGGTATTAAGTAGTTTATTTTCCTAAACTTTTACATTTGTAATACTAACAATTAAATTATTCATTTGAAGACTTGAATAAATTGTTATCATACTTGATTCTTAAAAAACACTTTAACAATCTTCAAAATCATCAATGGTGCAAAAAGATGTTTATTCATTTATCATCAATAACGTTGATAAAATTGAAGATTCTATAAGAGTATTCTCAATTGTTCTAATACTACTCAATTCTAAATCATCATCAAAAGCAATTATCACTGAATTTTTAAGATTGTTACTGTGGATAAAGAGATTTTTTGCAATTATTTTAAACTTATTATTGCTCTTTAAAAAATAAGAATTAGTAAAATAACATTGATTAATCCTAATATCAAATAATTTGATTTAATTTACTTTGTTCAAATCTGTTGAGAAAGAGAAAAATGAAGAATTGAAAATTGAACAATTTTCAATAAGAATATTTTCAATAGTAATGATTGCTTAAATGTTATTAATTTTAAATAGAGTTGAATTATTTAAAAGGCAATTTTCGATAGTTAATTTTTAGATTGTTATTGATATTTAAATTGATTGTTTTTAAAATTGAAAAAAGGTTGAATTAATAAAGATAGAATCTATGATCTTAATATCTTAAAATAGAATATTTCCATACACTAAAGTTTGAAAAATTGTTTTATCAGAAAAATTGCTTTGAATTAAGTTAATATTTTTTAATGTTATATCAACTTTGTTGTTAGTATTTTCCAAAATAAATTGATCAGATAAAGTTAATGTTAAATTTTTGATTTCTACTGAATCATAATTAACTATATTTGTTGGATCATTTAATACCAAGATTCTTGGATAAACTGAAAAGAGACTCATATTAATTTGCTTTAAAGAAAAGATTTTCTGTTTTAAATTATTCCTTAATAAAAATTAATCAGAAGGCATTATCAATTCTTCACAAACATCTTCAATTTTAAAAATATAATTTATTGTCAATTCATCTATTCCAATAAGGTTGCAAAATTGAAAATTTAAATAAAAGTCTAAATATGGGAAATAATAAATAAAGAGACAGTGTTGAAAATAGTAGGAAAAAGAAAAGCTATTGTAACAACTTTGGTTAAAACAATATTTAGAATTTCCTAAATAGGGATTGACAATGATATTAGGATCATCAATTGGTTTCAGACATTTCATTGGAAATTAATCATTTGCCTATAGCTAAAAATTAGATTTCAAAGCCTATTATAGTTTAAAATTGTTACAGTAATTTCTTCTTCAGTTCTCTCTTAACAATATTGACATAAATTAGAACAAGTGACGCACTGACCCAGAATTTCAACTATGATATTTTTTCTGTAGTAATTTAAAGGACATTTCAAACAAATAAAATCTTAATTAGTAGATTAACAATTTAAGCAATCATTACTACAATATTTTGTACAAATAAAAGTTTATGATAGTTAATATCCATTTTTACATTTTATAGGAAACTCTAGTAGATATTCTGAAGTGTAGGAATAATAATATTAATCAGGTAGAAATTACATCATAAAACTTGAACATATCCATCTACCTCCAAATGATCTCCTTGTATTGCATAAGCACTATTTATATCATTTTTATTGTAGTAGCAATTTCCTGTAATTATTGAGCTTACAAATCCTTATTTACAGATTACACATTATATTTTTGATTTAGAAGTAAGAACACATTATAAACAATTAGAATGATATTTTTCACAATTTATTATTTCAGGTGCAATTGTAAAATCAGTTTTAGAGGATAAAGTACAAATTTCATGACCATCTTAATTGATAAACGATCTTAAACAACTTTAAATTTTTGGTTATTATCTTAAGCATTCTCCAATTGTAAAGTCAAAAATAAAGCCATCTTCACACAATGCACAACCTACATTTGTTTATTCGTCAACATTGAAACTTTCAAAATTTTTATATAAAGTACTCTTGAATGTATCTTCTCCACTTTAGTATTCAAAACAATATATGCAATTAATTTTTGGACATAATTTGCATTAATTAGTAGAACTTATATAATATGGAGTCTGGCAAGATCTTTTCAATAATAGTTCATTCACAAATTTATCAGTACAGCTGCCATTTTCTAATATTGTATCGGGACTACATAACACACATTTTACACCATTAATTGATAAATATAACTTTAAACATCCAATAGAATTTGTTTGAAAGTTCTATGTACGATCATATAAGTACTAATCATAATAAAGAATTGATTTATTTAAATAGTCTAAATAAAAATCATTCAAGTCTTTTACTTTAATTTCTGTATACCATACAGATGCAATTATATAATTTCCATCAAAATATAATTAAGGATAATAATTCGTTTAAAGTCTTTCTGTCTAATTTAATTAATTGATGTATAAATCATGTCCACACACTGGGTTTTTACTAAAAGATTTTGGATTTTACACACATTCTACACAAATTATTAAATCTTTCCTTATGATTGAAGGACTATAAATATTATAAATAAGTTACCATCTTTAGCATTCATTATCTAATTCAAAATAACCATATTTACACTCAATGTTAGTGTTGATGAAGGGCTCATTAATTAATTCTAAATTTGATTCTTCATAACCAATACAAATTTAATCATCAATTGTATTGTAAGGGCAAACGCATACTTTATGTTCAGGCAAATAAATTCTTTTGGATTCTTAAGAACAAGAGAGACAATCTTCATTACTTGGACCATCACATTCTAAACAATTTGAATGGCAATTCTACTCAGAAAAATTTTGATCACAATTTAAAAAAAAGAAATTTCTTATTAATATATGTAAGTAATTTGATTTAAGTTATTAGATATTTCCATATAATAATTTAAATTGCTATAACTAAAATTAGCGAAATTCTAGTTAATAATTATATTCATAAATTATAAACTACTCGTAAAATTTAATTTAAATATCCATTTAATTTTTATTTAACCTAACTTATATTTAATGCCACAATTTCATACTTTCTTTGATATCAATAATTTTTACTATTAGAAATGGATTATTAGAAAAATCTATCGAAACTATAGGAAATGTGTAGCTATAAGTAGTTACAATAATTTAATTTTATATATCTGATAATTTATATTGAATTTAAAGGGGGGATAAGTTTTCATTAGTTAAACTTGGATTTTCAAAAATAGATGCTAATTTTATAAATGGATATATAAATTAATTATCTTCTTTAATGATTTCTGATATCTTAAACCATCCTGATAAAATAAAAGAATCACAATTTTAATTTTCTGAAATCATTTCTTTTATAAATTAAGTATGAATATCTGAATCTAGAATTTGTGAACTGTTATTTGGTTAACAAAAACATGATTCATAACTTTCAAAAGTATTTTTGACATCTTCAAACCAATCTATAACATTCAGTTCGTTTTCTATTTTAAACTTTTATATAGCAATTGTTCCAGGAAAATATGAGAATTTTTAATCTTTCTAAATTGATTCTATTCTTGAATTACTTACAATCAAGCTGCTTCCAAAAGTAAATTAGAGGTCTTTTCCTTTGAATGGGTACTTTTATTCATAAATATTATGAATTAAAATTTTAGATTATGAAATTATCAAAATTTCGAATCGTTTTTATAAAGGCCATTAAAGAATTTCAAGAAAATACCAAAAACTTTCATATTCAAATGCATCCACTTGAATTTCATATATTTTTTATTCGTCTTCGTTGTTTACGAACTTTATTGCTTTTTTTATTGTGTTTGCCTCATAATCCAAACAATCGAAATATATGAAATTTAATTCATTGATTTTCTTATCAATAATGTGAAGTAGCTAATAACAATTACTATCAAAGAATCCAACAGGGCCAGTCTAAGGTATTGTGCTAAGAGGATTATATTTTGACCAAATGCCATAACTAAAATATTTTTTTAGAGCAAAATCGTCATCCTCTATCTTCACCGATAAATGTGCTTATTAGTATAAAGGATCTAATGCTTATATTTCAAATGTTTCTGTTTAATTCAAACAGATGAGAAATATGATAATGATCATTAATTTACAAATTATTCAAATAAAGAAAATCTTATTCCTGTTTAATAATTCATAGTACTTTTTTTATAAAAATAATATCCCATCAAGAAAAAACAAAAAATAAGATTGACCAGAATACAAAAAGTTGTATAAAATAAAAAGGAAAGTACTTGTATGTTGTGTTGTGTCAGCAATCACATTAAAATTATGAATTTTATTATTTAATGTAATTAGTGAAATATGTTAATTTTAAAAAAACTTTTTTTAAGGAAATAAACAAAAAAATGAACCTATCAAACATTAGTTGTTTGGCAAATTGAATAACAAAATTAGACTATTTTTGGAAGTTTTTTTGATTATTATAAAAATTTGTGATTGGTCATTCATAATTTTTTGAAAAGCCACAAATATTCAAAGTCGAGGATATTTTATATAGATTTTTGATTTATAATCTTTGAAATGGAAAATTTCCATAACTAATGAAAAATAAAATATGATAAAAAAATTTTATAAATTAATTTGAATATTCATTGCAAAAACTTAAAAACCATTTCCTATTTTACATCAAAAGAAATTTAATCATCTTAAAGATTAATGGATAGAGCCAACACTATTAAATGAGTCCAAATTCATTCTAAGTTAGCAATTAGATTAATTGAAAATGATTGATTATATGCTTATGTGATTTTAGATGAACTAAATATAACACTAAACAAATGTATTAATGTAGGCAAATTTATCACTTGTTGATAATAAAATATCCGATATTATCTCTATAAAAAGAAACTCCTTATATATGATATTTATCATCTATGTTCTTGAAGTTAAATGTTTTCAACTCAATGAAATGACTGGATAATAACCTTGAGCTTAATATTGATAAATATAATAAATAATCATCATTGTTAATATTAAATTTTTATTATTCTGATAAGCTAAATTCAGTATCTTTTTTTTCAATTTAATTATTTGTGTTCTGATCTTTTAAGATTTTTAGTGATTTTAATTGTCAAAAATTTTTAGCTTAATCAAGATGATTCATAAATATCAAGTGTAAAGTAGAACATAGCTAATTTTATCCCTCTAGATTAATAAAGGAATTTTAAATATTTTAAGATATGAGAAAATCTTTTGAAAAAATTATTAGATTTAAAGAAATACAACATGGCAATCTATATATAGGGAAAAACTAATTTGCAACAAATTTTGATGCGTTTATCAAACTAAATGAAAATGAAACTAAAGAAATCAGAAATATTTATAAAAATTGAGAAAAATGGAGTCTATAAAAGTTAATAAGTAACCTTAAATTATGCAATTATTATTATCTAAACAATGATGGACTCTGGTTTAATAAGAGTATTTAATTAAAAAGGATAATACATATCCAAAGTTTATTATTAAAAGACAAAAATGATTAAGAATCATTAAGAATGTAAATTGCAAGAATCCAATAAAAATTGAATATTAAAACTAATTTGAGAGTATTCAACAATAATAATATAAATATTCAATATTATAAATAAATGGATGTAGTTCTAGGTTACGTGGATTAATTCCTACATCTGAAATTCAGAAAGGTACATTGAAAATTGGTTAATATTCAGATAATATTACAAATAGTATCATTAGCAATAGTAGTAGGATCAGTATTATCAATATGGAAGAGTTTATAAGTGGTGTCATTTTCAGAATCTCCAGTAATTGTTGTTTCATCTGGATCAATGGAGCCTGTATATTACAGAGGTGATATCTTATTTTTGACATACTTTAATAAGCCATTTGAGGTAGGAGATGTGATTGTATACAAAATTAAGGATTAAGACATTCCTATTATTCATAGAGTATTTTAAATTGTATAGAAGTAAGAATATATATATATCATATTGTAAAAAGAAGTAATGATCCATTAGATTAATTGATATTAACAAAAGGTGATAGTAATTAATTAGATGATAGAGCATTATATCCAAGAAAATAGATGTGGCTAGAAAGATCAGATATCATGGGGAAAATAGAAGGGTATTTATAGTTTATTCCTTTTTTAGAGTAATTTCATATGTAGGGAATATTGCAATATTATTATATGATTATCCTTCATTTAAATTTATAATGATTGGTTTTATGAGTTTGTTTGTATTAGAAGCTAAAGATCCATAGAGATGATTATTTATTAATTAAAATAATTGAATTATTACTATTTTTATCATTATAATTTAAAAGTCCCTTTTTCTATATGATTTAATAATAACAAACTTAAGATGGACATGTTAGAAAGTCTCATGCCTAGAGTTATTGATTAAATTACTGATTTATCCAAAAATGCTGGAATATATTCATATATTGTTACTGATTACAATTATATGATCTTAAATTTTTTAAATATTTTGTTATTTTTTAGCAATAGTGAATAAATATTTCAGAAAATTATTATTGGATTTCTCATTTTTTTTATTATTAATCTTAAAGATGATTAATTGTTTAATCTAATTATTATTGACAATTATATTGATATTTATGGATTAAATAAGGGGAAGCTTTTAATTATAATTTTCATAAACATTTCATCATCAATAAAACTGTTAAGTTTTTGTAAATCTATTTTTATTGAGATTAGTTTTTAATTTCAGTTTATTTATTAATTGATAAATTAAGTTTAAAAACTTTCATTCTTTTTTCTGTTTCAAAAGAAGATCATCTAAATCTTCCTCATCATCAGATATTCTTCTATTAAAAATCATTTCTAAAATAGTAAACAGTTCTGAAATCTCTACTCTTTAAATAGCTTTCTTTGCTATTTTCTCATAAGCTCACATTGATCTATCAAAAATTAATTTATTTTATTCTTTGATTTCATTACCTTAAAGTAATTGAATACTAAATATTAAATAAGTTATTCAAATATATTTTTGAATGGACCATCGCAATTACCAGAAATAAGTTAATCTATCATTTATCTAAATAAATTTGTTTATGACACCATTAATTCATTAAATATATATATGTTCAATTATTTATCATCTAGATATTGTATTTTATCTAACACCATCTTTCTAAAATATGAATTGTTTTATTATATTATCAATATGCAAATTAAGTGCTTCAATAAAACTAGGTAGATTTTTTTTAGCAATTTCCTATTCTTTTGATATTTAATGGATATCTTTACAAATAATCCGAATATTTCATCAGATTTATAAAATCTAAATAAATTTATTTATTTTAAACAAATTCAAGTAAATTATATAAGCTGATTTTAATACTCTAAATTTAAAATAGATTCACAAAAGAATTTCAAAGATTTAATAATATCTTAATTATAAGAAACATTTTAAATTAAGAAAGAAAAACTGAGTTTTTTCTCCAAATTTTTATGATAATTCTTTCTATTTCGCTGTAGTTTATAATTATTAGATCTCCAAATAATTCTTAGAGAAGTATTTAATTATCTTTACTAATTCTTCTTCTTATTTAAAAATCTTCATAATAAGAACTGAACCTGAGATATAGCAGCCAAATATATCATAATAGATTAATTAAATCCAACATGTTATTAAGACAAAAAAATAAATTTACAATAATTTAGCAATAGATAAATTAATATCTTAATATTAAACTCTTCCTTAATCTACACAAATCTTATTAAATAATGTATTAAATGAAGTTTACTTAATATATAAAAATCTTTATAATACGAAGGGGATATCTGTTTGATAATCTTTCTAAAAAGTATCCATGCCCTCTCCAAATAATGACTTTTAGTCATTTTTAAGCACATATAAATTATTTAATTATTGATAGTCAAGTTTCCATTAACACTATAGTTTAATTCAAATCTTTAATACCATTATTACTTATAATTAAGTCTAATAAGCACTTTAGAAATATCACATATAACTCCATTAATATTAAGTATAGTTTAAATCTTGAATAAGATATTTTTAATGACTACCTCATCTGTAAATCTACCAAATTATGGATCAAAAGTAATTACAATTACTTGAAGGCTATTTAGTTACTGCATATTAGAACCATATAATCATTATAATTATTTGAAAAAACCCATCCTTTCAATTAAATTTCTGCAAATCAATAAAAAATTAATACGCCTTTTTCAGTCAAAGTAATTTATTGCTTTAATATCTTATATATGTGCAGTGGAGCATAAATTTTCCAGCCTTTATGAATAGTTTAATCCACTTTTATCAGATAATGTGCCATTTATTGTGTATCCTAAAAAAGCACCTTTCAAAATCATATAATACATTAATTGAAAAAACTTCTACTGTTATTCTGTATCTAATTGATCTGATAATCCTCCACTAATCTTATTAATTATGGATTCTAATGTTATTGTAACTTTATAGATACTTAAATTATTTCCCCTAAATAAAAATATTCATTACCAGTTTATATTAAGTGTACTTGTTTGTTTAATTTATAATCAACCCCATTTCAACATATGATATAAAGCATAGCAAAATTATTCTTAGAAAATAATTATGCAAATGATAAACCTATAACTTGAATTCTCAATAATTAATTATATGTTAAGGTACTTGTGACTGTTTTAGAATTAAATTAAAGTGATATACTGAGAGTTATAAATATTAATTATGTATTTAATTTTGATAAAAGCTTAATATTTAAACCATTAATTTAGAATATAAAGGTTCTATTCAGCCTTTTGGTATACCCATAATAGTTATTTTTGTGCCTCTATCTGAAGAAGTAGAATTAGGTTAAATTGAAGATATTTCCATATTAATAGTTTCACCCATTTTTCATTAATCTATTTTTGAAAAACCAATATTTTTATTAATAGTAAAATACTATTCCTTTGAAATTCCTATTACTTTTGGCTAGATATAGTCTATTAAATTGATTAATGAAAAAAGTAACCTGGAACTTAATCTACACATTTAGTAGAACCATAATAAATAAAATTCAAACAAAATAAATACATTACATCTACTAATTAGCCAGTTAATAAAGAGATAGAAAACATTCAATGGAAAATTATTCTTCATCGTAAAATTTGAAAAGATATTTGATATTGAACCCAAAGAAGATGTTGTACCTAATGAGAATAAATTTAAATAAAAGTAAGATTCATATATACATACTTGAAGATCCTAAGATTCCATAAATATTACCATATGTGTGAAATTACAATAGTTTACAATAGATGCTAATCCAAGATTATTATTTGATAAAAAATAATTACCAATTATAATATAGAGATTAAATTTTCTGAAGGTTCTAATTTAGCGTTGCTAAAAATAAATTAACTATCAAATTATGATCTAGTTGTAAAAATTTATTAAGTTTCACAACTTGAGATAAATTAATTGATGAAGTCAAGAGTTTTAATAATTTTATCAGATACAACAAATAAATGCATATATAGAAATCAGAGTTTTATTTTTCTTGTACTTTTTTATTTAAAGAGTACCCTTCTGAAGCTTCCTAAAGATTATACCTTACTTAAGATAGCAGAACAAAATTTCAAATTTATGTGATATACCTTTTCTAAACTTGTAAATTATAAAACATTAGAAGATTTGTAAGATTTCATCTATTTAATNTATAAAGCATAGCAAAATTATTCTTAGAAAATAATTATGCAAATGATAAACCTATAACTTGAATTCTCAATAATTAATTATATGTTAAGGTACTTGTGACTGTTTTAGAATTAAATTAAAGTGATATACTGAGAGTTATAAATATTAATTATGTATTTAATTTTGATAAAAGCTTAATATTTAAACCATTAATTTAGAATATAAAGGTTCTATTCAGCCTTTTGGTATACCCATAATAGTTATTTTTGTGCCTCTATCTGAAGAAGTAGAATTAGGTTAAATTGAAGATATTTCCATATTAATAGTTTCACCCATTTTTCATTAATCTATTTTTGAAAAACCAATATTTTTATTAATAGTAAAATACTATTCCTTTGAAATTCCTATTACTTTTGGCTAGATATAGTCTATTAAATTGATTAATGAAAAAAGTAACCTGGAACTTAATCTACACATTTAGTAGAACCATAATAAATAAAATTCAAACAAAATAAATACATTACATCTACTAATTAGCCAGTTAATAAAGAGATAGAAAACATTCAATGGAAAATTATTCTTCATCGTAAAATTTGAAAAGATATTTGATATTGAACCCAAAGAAGATGTTGTACCTAATGAGAATAAATTTAAATAAAAGTAAGATTCATATATACATACTTGAAGATCCTAAGATTCCATAAATATTACCATATGTGTGAAATTACAATAGTTTACAATAGATGCTAATCCAAGATTATTATTTGATAAAAAATAATTACCAATTATAATATAGAGATTAAATTTTCTGAAGGTTCTAATTTAGCGTTGCTAAAAATAAATTAACTATCAAATTATGATCTAGTTGTAAAAATTTATTAAGTTTCACAACTTGAGATAAATTAATTGATGAAGTCAAGAGTTTTAATAATTTTATCAGATACAACAAATAAATGCATATATAGAAATCAGAGTTTTATTTTTCTTGTACTTTTTTATTTAAAGAGTACCCTTCTGAAGCTTCCTAAAGATTATACCTTACTTAAGATAGCAGAACAAAATTTCAAATTTATGTGATATACCTTTTCTAAACTTGTAAATTATAAAACATTAGAAGATTTGTAAGATTTCATCTATTTAATAAAAAGTAAATTGTTTAGTTTTCATAACTAGAACCAAGCACATACAAATCTCAATATCTTTTGGAGAATTTATTGATTGTATAAACGATTATATTTATTTTATGACTTATAATTAAATTCTTCTATTTATTAATCAGAATTAAAAAAGTAAAAACTTTAGATTTAATTCTAGAATTTCCCATTAGGCGAAATTAAGATCTTGTCTGAACCATAAAACACTTAAAACTTTATTTTTCAACAAAAGCTTAACATGACTCCATATTTTGCAGGCATACTTTATTTTAGTCACTTCTTGTAGGAACAACTTTTTAACTTTCTCATCATATTTCAATACTTTTTATTAGCAAATTACTATTTTCAATTAAATAAGATAAACCTGGGAAAACTTGAGCTCATTAAATTTCAACTTATTCTGAATAACCAGAAAAGGTACTCGATTAAATAGAACTAATAGTTTCTCTCTCCTTTTTTTTATTTTCCAATTTAGCTACTTCCCCAAAATATATAAATATATTTGCAAACTTTAAAACTACCTTTATGAAAAAAATCTTCCCTAATGTTTTGAGTAGAGTTAAATCAATAAATAACGGATGAATAGAATTAGAACATTTTTTCTTATTTATTATTCTAAAGTACTAATTTCCAAGCTAATCAATTCAATATACATTAAGAAGTTTAAACTTAAGATAAGAAAGAGATTAAAGAACTTTTTTCTCATTAATCATTTCATCTCAAAAATTTTCTATATTATAAATATGCAATTTTTTCTTACTCATTCATTTCTAATAAATATTTATTATTATTAAATAGTTGTATTAAAATGAATATTGGGACTTAATTTAAAATATATTTAGAAGATAGAGGAATATGTGAAAACGATTGAGTTCCTTAAAAATATAACAAAACACTTAATCTAAAACAAATCCTTATGCAATTAAACTACCTTAAGTCAAATCAATAATCTTCAAATAGTAAATGAGAAAGAGAAACAAGCAGAATAATCCTAAACATTTTGTTTACCTGTTAATAAAAAGATCACTTAAAACAAATATTGATTAAAATAATCATTATCATTTGATATAAATATGTGAATTTGTTAACTTAGGCTATTAATGTAAGCAGTTTTAGTCATCAAAAATTTAATAGATTAGAATTAATAGATTTTTAGACTTGATACAAGATTATAGATGATTTGCATAATGATGAATTAATTATATTAAATCATTTGAATACAGATTATATGGGAGCTGATATTCTGATTAAATTGGCAATAAAGTAGAAATCATTAAGGATAATAATAATATAAAACTCTATTATTTAAATCTTACAAAAATTGGGTTAATCTTAATCATCCTTATAATTTTATTTAAATCAGTTGACTTAATTACTTTTTTTGCCCATGGAAACATATAAATATTTTGGTTTATATATTATGAAATAATCAGTCTTTGATATAAATCGAAATTAATGACTTTATTTAATTTTTAGGTGTTGCTTTAAAAAGGAATAATATTTTTAATTTATTAAAATTCGATTATTCAATTTCTCAAATCAAACCTTTATTGAATGTAATTGGACCAGATATTACATCCATAATGGACTAAAAAAATATTCAAAAATAACCTTTTTCTGTTAGATGAAGTCGAATAATTATAAAAAAGATTTTAATAGTCAAATGATTTGGCTACAAATTATTAAATTTTAAAACCAATCACTTTTATTAGATTTTACATGATTAAAGGTATGTTCATAATGTATACTCTGGTTTTCCATTTATCAACGTAATGATATGTTGGTCAAACTAGTTCAATTAAATTGATGAATTCATTGGCCATACTTATAGCTGTTTTGCTTACGTTGTTCCTAAATTAGTTTGTTTCAAAGTTATTCAATATTTCGAAATTTTTTAAAATTAACATAAATCTCTCCAAATATTTCCATTCAGTGTCTTTGCTTATTTTTTACATTCAATGGTAAGAGTATAATTTATCATATTCTTAAAAACACAAATAAAATATTTTTCATTTTCGATTGACTCAAAAATACTGATTATTATCTATAATATAGTTTTAAATGTTTTTTATGTTAAAAATCTGAACTTTCCATTCTATAACATTTTAGAATTATTTAAATTTTCTTCACTTCCAAATCATTGACAATTGCTTGTCGATAAAAGTGATCAGGTTTTCTCACTCAAGTGATAAACCAGTTATCTCTCATATTTCAAATAATTTAAGAGAAAATTAAAACTAACAAGTTGCCAATGACCCGATTGTATTTTATAGATGATTGTGAATCCTGAAGATAATAAAGAAATTAAATTAGACCCTTTGATATAGCATTCTCATATATTTTTGAGCGCTAGGTTTGACTTATGATTTACTGATAGGAATTATTTTAATAAACCTTTATTGGTTTCATCATTTGTATCTACAACTTAAGCATCACTAATATTTTGAGAAAAGTGCTTGTTACTACACCTCTGGATATTAGATATAATAGAGATACAGTTAATCCTCAATTGTTTGAAGAGCATAATGGACATAATTATAAATATTTATAAGTCCTTAAAATGAAATATACGCTCCAAAATATAAAAGTAATGCCAATAGTATAAAATTTTCCTTTTTTTATTCTTTATAAAAAGTATTTATTTGTACTTAATGAATAAATGATACAAACAATCTTAAGAATATTATCATATGATTAATTCTAACATAAATAATTAATTATAATAATTATATTGCTATTAAATTTATTTTTTTTTTATAAAATAAGTTAATGAATTAGAAATTGATATCAAAAGGAAATTTATTATTATTAAAAATAATATATTATTTTTACTAAAATAATTAATCAATTAGAAGCTTTTTGTTCCCACTCTAGGACGCATTCTTTGATAAATTAATAATTTATAAAATATTCTGTAATTAGATTGAATCATAAAAATTTCTCTTCTTATTATACTATATCCAAAACCCTTTCTGAATTACTTTCAATAATTTAATCTTTATTTATTGAATCAGAAGAAATTAATGACCTAGCATGAAGGCAATTATATAAACGCAAAAATAATGATCTATAGTATAAGTATTAATTGGTATTATGAAACGGCTTTAAAAGTTCAAAATCTTATTAAATAAAGAAGAATTCCTATTGTTTAATTAGATAATATTCTAGCTGTTTTATTTTAACTTACTATCGATCATCTATTTATATATATTTAAATTATTCAACTAATTTTTATTTGAAACATTTCTAGAATTTATTTTTAATCTGAAGACTTTATTTTAATTTTATCCAACAGCTTTTTAAATCTAATCTTCAAAGCCATTAATTTTTTAGTAAATATTTTATTCCTCTTCTAAAGATATTTATTTTTTTAATGTAAGTTCATCACTTAATATATTCGCTGCGGATATGTTTAATCTCTGTAAATCTATTGGTGTGAAATTTTTTGAAAGATTTTGAGTTTTTGTAAATATTCTCAAGATTTAAAATTATTTAAATAATAAATTAATACTAATGAAACTTAATAGATTAATCCGTTGATTTTAGAACACTTGTGTAGTCTTAGATAGATTAATTGTATTTATTCAATGCCTTATAAGCATTTCCTAAGTATAATATTTAAATATTAGACAATAGTTGTACTAAGAAAGAGCATATTAGGGGTTTATTTCGATGGCCTTTGCTTAATCATAGATATCTAAATCTTATTTATTCAATGCCTGATAAGCATTCCCTTTTTAAAAAGGTAGTAATATTATACCTCTCTAGATATATGCATCAGCATATTATCCGTCAATTTCGATTGCCCTGTTAAACTTTAACTAGTTTAGTCATACATTCCTTAATTGATATATATACAAATATACCTCTATTATAATGAGATTTACCATCTTAATTGGAATGTGATATATATCTTTTTTAAACTTAGTTTAATAATTTAATTAATACTGACTATGGAAAAAATCATAAAATTTGAATATCATAATTATACATTATGTGAAATCAATCACAATAATTATTCATCACTTTTTAATATCCTCGTAATTTATCCTTTTATATGCTTCAGTATTCCAATTATAACGTATTTGTTTATCTCATTTACATATTGGACTCCAATTTATTGAATATTTATCTTTCTTCTCTATTAATTCTTTAGATATACTTAAAATATAATTTTCAAAAAAATTATATTTTAATAAATATCATTTATAATTATAGTATACTTTCACACTTATATATTTTTTATCAACTAAAATAAAATGAATTAAATATAATTTTTAAATCATTGATTGATGGAAGTTAATTTATCTTTTTTTAAAAATCATTATATATAATTAATATAATTCAACTAATAATGGATAAATTTTAGATGAGATTAGAAAGGGTATCACAAATAATTTTAATCCTGAATAAGTAAAATTTTAATTTGATTTAATCTAAAGTATTTAAGAATAGATTGTGGCTGGAATCAACTTTAATATCAAATTAAGATATGTGTATACTTACACTATGTAATTTATTCTACGTTATTCTTTAGTCCTTGGGCTAATAAACCAAATAAAGTAACAAGTTCTTCCAGATTTGATGAATCAGATATATGAATATGATTTGTATTTCATTAAGTATCAAAAGTAATTTTCTATTTATTTAAGTCTTTGAATTATTTTACCTCTTTATTCTATAATTATAATTTAAATAAACTAGACATGATTATAATTCTATGATATAATTTAATTATAAAATAAAAAAATAATCGATATTTAATAAAACACTTCTTGAATAAACATTGACAAGTCATCATTAAGACGATGGTGATGGCGTTAAAGGAGGCTTATTTCAATTTATTTTAACAGCTTAATAAATAGGTTTGGTAAATCTGTTATTAAATTTCTATAAGTGACTGGATATTATCATAAGTGTATCCTCCTTTAATATAGAAGCTTATAACAAGGTGTCCTATAACTAAAGTTATTATTTAAAAATATTATTTTATCTTGTTTATAATATGGTATTTCTAATTTATTAAAGCCCGTCGTTAGGATTTCTGAGAAATACATTTTATAGTTTTATTTATCTATGCAATATATCTAATGAATGAAGGTATGAAACAACTCTTTATACATTTAGAATTTTCTAAACAATGATTACCATCAAAAATACATCTGTTTAGGTAGTTTCAACATATCTTCTATAGAAACAGTGAGCTTTATCATATTCTTAGCGCTTTTTAAATGTAGTTAGGGCATAATCAAAAGATTATTCAAATCAAAAACATTTTGCATTTTTCCATTAACAAGGTTTTAAAAAGGTATCAAAAGTACTAATAACTTAGCTAAAATCTCCTTTATCAGTAGTTTTTGCTGCTTAACGTAAAAGTGAACTATTAAATAATAGGCACAAGTCTCATTTAAACATGTCTATTTCCTTAATTAGTACCCTCCATTATTTATATAGAGTTTTGCAACCATCCTGATTATTGTTTTTGAAACATCCAAGCCCATTTTAAAGTTTAAATATCTACAACTGGTTGGTGAATTAATCTATATATTTTAAATACATTTATAATTAATAAAAATTATAATAATTTCTGATATATTTTTATTGTTACTACAATTTTATGGGAGTTTTGATTGTCCCTAAAATAAATTATACATAATTATCGATGCAAATAGTACCTTTTGTAACACCCTTATTAAACTCTTCAAAATCTTTATCTGTAGTTAATTTAGCATTAGGAGTACATAATATCAAAAACAAGCTTATGTAGCATAACATTCGGTATATTCCAATATTTTTTTAACCATTTAATTCTTTCAAATTAGCACAAGTTTTTTATGATCCATAAATATTTGGAAACGTCTAACATTACCAGTGTATTTCATAAAAGTTATTCTCACTTCTAAATATGATTTACAATTCATCCTTTAATTTTTATGAAACATCAATTTAAAAATTTCTAGAAATTATGAGAATCTTAATCATCTAAACAATTTTCAACTCCTCAAGTATTAACAACATTTTCATCTTCTTTACATTCATTAAAAGAATAACACAAACTAGTTGTACCACTAAATTTAATGCAAAGTTTTGATGATTTTCAAAAAAGAAACTTTTTAAATTCACTCACCTAGTTATTTTAATCACCCAAGAGGGCCTAATTTTAAGGTTATATTTGTTCTTATAATAGATTTAAGTTCAGAAATTATTCAATTGTTGTTATATTTTCAATACCTTAAAAAATAATTACTTATTTAAGAGTATTTTAATAATTTAATTATTAAAAATGTAAGGGGAAAATGATTCGTATTCTAAACCTTAAAAATTAAAAACTTCCTGAGATTACTAAGAATATACGAATAAATTATTCTATTTAGAATAAGTATACTGCTAGATCTTATTTTTGTAATAACATAAATCTTCGGACTAATTTTAATAATAGGAGCAGCAAAATCAAAAAAATATTCTTAAAAAACTTAGATTTTAATATTGAGCTAATATAATTGAAAGGATTGAATAATGATAATAATACTAAGCATATATTATGAAAGCATTCGTTTCGTTTATAATTGATGATATCTTCGTTGAAATAGATATTGAAGATGTAAGTTGATTTTCCAAATATGAATTGAATTAATTACAATTAGTTTTTCAAATAGCAATCAAATAAAATCAAAAATTCAAGAATAAGTTGATATTTAAACAATAGATACTGACAGTTTATCCAACTTATTCTATGCTCTGATATTCTATTCATATAGAATCATAATGATTTGAATTCTATCATATTATTGTTTATATTTATTGTCTATTTGCTTAGAAAAATCTTGAATGGTTATTACTTATTTAAAAAAATGGATTTGGAGGTATGATTTTGAATTAGTAAAAATTTTCAATATCACCTAAATTTTAAGTTTTTATTAAAAAAACTCTCCTTGGATACTAATAAATCAATCATTACTGTTAATGATCAAACTCTTTAGAATTAACAGACTAATTTTTATAAAAGTAGCACCAAAGTACTAAATGATTGAAGATCCTTGATGATCCTAATTTAATGTAAGTAGAAGAGGATTAGAGTGAAGAAAAAGATTAAGATGATAAAATATTTTAATGCTGCCAGAAAAAAATTAATAATAAATGGTTAAATTTATTATTTTAGAGTTATTTGAAAGTTGATCTTATGCCTAACTAAATTTGAGAAAAAGGGAGTATGATTTAAAACTTTCTAATATTTTGATCAAAAAAAAGGGCTGCTCAATTAAATAAAAAATTAAAAATTGACTTCGTAATCAATTTAATTACAGCCAAAAAAATTTTTTTATGAGAATGCTCCTGATAGTGAAGTGGATGTTTCAAACAAATAGGAAAATTTTCAATAATTTGTTACTTTTTCTCCTTCAAATTAATACAAATTTTTGTTAAATTTTATCAATAGATTTATCCCAATTATTATTCAATTTTTGAATTACTTAAATAAAATATTCATCTCCACTAACAGTGCCAAAAGCTGACTCTCATTGCTGATATGTTAGACCTTAAGCAACAGAAAATGTACATACAGATTTTAAATTTCCAATTATGATTTATATATCAGCAATACATTTTCCTGCAACTGATCACACTCACGAAGAAAATCCAGAAAGTTTTAATCCACTATAGTAACAGGAGCACCTGTTCCTGTTACAATTCTACAACACTTCAAATTCCAGTCTTTTCATAAATATTATTGTTAAAATAGATCAATTTAATTAAGATGATTTAATGCACTTTTTTGAATTGATTTGTGAAGATAAAGCATTAGATTTTAATCAGCTGTACTTATCCAAAATACAGATTCAAGTCACCAGCAACCATTAAGTTTTTGGGAAGTAGCAATCTCTTAAATTAAACATTTATTAGCTGCCCTGTTTATTTTATTCAATGATTTTTTTTCAGCAAGAATTATTGCCTCTTCATCTACATAAGATAAGATAAATGAATATTATTCAGAAGTTGACTGAAAAAGATGTGTTGATTTCACCTATGATTTTAACATTCAAAGATATGTATCAAATTCTTAGGACCAAAATAAGAGGAGATTTCATGTAATAGCTATTTGAAGAGTTTCATAGCTTAAATAATTAATTTTCTTTATCTTCTAAAGGAAAATGTAATTCTAAACAAAATTTTCAGTATCATATTCATCATTCAAAATTTTTATTATTATACAATTTTAGCAATTCAAAAAATCTTCTAACAATTAAATTAACATTACTTTTATTTAAAAATTATAACATGGTGTAAAATAGAAATAATAACTGCATTAACAAGATATTGATGTTCCGTTTTTATAGATTTATTAAGTATTATTCTTGTTATATTCTAAAGAATAACTCTAAAATATAGAGCATACCCTTTGATGCTAACGATTTATAGTGCATATCTTCTTTATTCAAATCAATCAATTGATTATACACTTACACTACCACTTAATCAATTGATTATCCTCTGTCCAAACAACAACACTTCTACCCTCAATACTTATTCAAAATGCTTTTATGTTATTTAACCCATTCCAATAATTGGGTTTAAGTTATTTCATAGAAATTTTAAATATTGGAATATAAAGATATTATTACTCAAAGCTAAAATCAAAGCTATTCATTAAGAATCTCTAAAATTATATTAATTTGATTTTAATAATTTTAGAATATCTATTTGATATTCAATGTTAAAATTATAATTAATCATTTAAATCTATATAACTATTTATACTAAAAACAATACAATCATTGATTTAATTATTACAGGTAATGCCACCCCTAATAATTAAATGTCTTCTATATTACCCTTATTACAATACGCCTCTTCAAAATCTGGTCTTATGAATATAGCCTTATTATAACATTAAATTTCTTCCTCATATCTATTTAAATTGTGTAACACCACTCCTAAAAATTTAAATGTTTATATAGATTACCTTTATGATAATACGCAGCTTCATCATTCGGTCTTCTGGATATTACCTTATTATACTAAATATTAGATTAAATATGAAATAATTTAGATTAAACAATTATTTAGAGAGTGCAATATAAAGATGAATTTATAGTAAGGGCTGAAATCAAAATTGGGATTAAATATTTGAATTAGATTTATTAAATTAAGCTATTTACAACAATGATGGATATAAATGAGTTTTGAATTTGATGATTTTTCGATTGGTATTTGATACATGATTTATCAAGTTAAGATTGGAATCATTTTATACTAGAATAATTCTGATTATATGAAGCATGATTACACATTTTTTAATTAAAGCATTATAGTTCAAAACTTTTAAATAACTATTAATGTTTCAATATAATAATTCATGCCTTTTTTATTTGATTTTCAATTTGCCTTATAAGCTAATCCGTCTCATATGAATCCATATTGTAATTATAGTATTAATTAATGTAATTTAGTTCATTTTCTTGTAAATTGTTCCTCTATTTATCCTGTGATTTTTATTGATTCTCAGATTATTTTAATTGATTATTTAAATTACTATCCCATGATTTTTATTATTCCTCTTATTTTTATTGATTATCTTTTGATTTTAGTTAATTCTCCTTCATCATCATTCAGTTTTCATACTCAGACTGAATCTATTTAACTAATATTTAATATAATAAATACTTTTTTTTTCTTATTCCTAAATTTTAAGTCTTAGATTACTTATTTCAGTCTCATTCTTTAGTTGCTATCTATTAACAAATCCAAAAGATCTAAAGGAAAACTCACTTTTTTTAATACTTGAGAATATTTTCAACTAATTGAGAAAAGTTTGCATCTATTTTAATATAAATATGTACCATTAAAGTTTTTAATAAAATTAAATGCATTGTAAAAGTGAAGAAATCAATGTAAAATAAAATTTAAAACTACAAAATTTGCAGCTACTTATTGTAATGGGTTCGTAAATGCAGGATTTAAGAAATATGCATTATTGAGTAATATAGAGAATTCCTGGTTGAATTAAAAATGGCCACACAACTAAAGCAGCAGTTGCTAGAAGAGGATTAATAAATTAATGATAATGCAAAAATTGGAGGAGATTGGCATATGCAGGTTTAGCAAGAATGGAATTTCAGATTATGGATGTTAACCATATTTTCCAGATAACAAAAATAAATAAATAATAATAGATAAAAACTATGTAATTTTAAATTATATTTACTACTTAATCTTTTCTGATCATAATAATTGCTCATTTTTTTTTTTATCGAAATGAACATATTTTAATACTCTTAAACTCTTGATGTAAAATTATAGTATTTCTAATATAATTAATATAAGGCACATATAAAAATTTAAGATTATTTACAAAATATTAACAATATAATTCAACTTTTGACTCTAAATACATATTTAATTTATCAAATTTATTTATTGCCTTTGAGAGAATTTATAAGGAGTTAATTTCCTCCTTATTTATTTTATTATTAAATAAAATAAATCAAATTTGAAATCAGTTTTTGTATCTTTTTATTTAAATATCGATGATGATTTCTTAAATTTTATTTACAATTTAAATTTACTTCTTATAAAATATTTATCTAGATCTCAGATTTACAATAAATTAACATGACTAATAGAACTAATTAAGCACACAAATAAATAAAAAATAAATATTTCATGATAATAATAATTTTCTAAAGAGAAATAAATTAAATATAACAGAATATTTATTTAAATGANTTAATTCTCCTTCATCATCATTCAGTTTTCATACTCAGACTGAATCTATTTAACTAATATTTAATATAATAAATACTTTTTTTTTCTTATTCCTAAATTTTAAGTCTTAGATTACTTATTTCAGTCTCATTCTTTAGTTGCTATCTATTAACAAATCCAAAAGATCTAAAGGAAAACTCACTTTTTTTAATACTTGAGAATATTTTCAACTAATTGAGAAAAGTTTGCATCTATTTTAATATAAATATGTACCATTAAAGTTTTTAATAAAATTAAATGCATTGTAAAAGTGAAGAAATCAATGTAAAATAAAATTTAAAACTACAAAATTTGCAGCTACTTATTGTAATGGGTTCGTAAATGCAGGATTTAAGAAATATGCATTATTGAGTAATATAGAGAATTCCTGGTTGAATTAAAAATGGCCACACAACTAAAGCAGCAGTTGCTAGAAGAGGATTAATAAATTAATGATAATGCAAAAATTGGAGGAGATTGGCATATGCAGGTTTAGCAAGAATGGAATTTCAGATTATGGATGTTAACCATATTTTCCAGATAACAAAAATAAATAAATAATAATAGATAAAAACTATGTAATTTTAAATTATATTTACTACTTAATCTTTTCTGATCATAATAATTGCTCATTTTTTTTTTTATCGAAATGAACATATTTTAATACTCTTAAACTCTTGATGTAAAATTATAGTATTTCTAATATAATTAATATAAGGCACATATAAAAATTTAAGATTATTTACAAAATATTAACAATATAATTCAACTTTTGACTCTAAATACATATTTAATTTATCAAATTTATTTATTGCCTTTGAGAGAATTTATAAGGAGTTAATTTCCTCCTTATTTATTTTATTATTAAATAAAATAAATCAAATTTGAAATCAGTTTTTGTATCTTTTTATTTAAATATCGATGATGATTTCTTAAATTTTATTTACAATTTAAATTTACTTCTTATAAAATATTTATCTAGATCTCAGATTTACAATAAATTAACATGACTAATAGAACTAATTAAGCACACAAATAAATAAAAAATAAATATTTCATGATAATAATAATTTTCTAAAGAGAAATAAATTAAATATAACAGAATATTTATTTAAATGATTATTGAAGGGCAATCATAGATTATGAAAATATTTTTTTATTCTTATTTTAATCAAATATATAATGATATCCAAGTGAACCTCTTTCATCAGATAAATAATTACTTAACATGAATAAGCAGTTCTAAATTCAAAGAACTTAATTTAAATATATTTTAGTACTCATCCACTACCTTAAGAATAAATTAGTATAGCTTAAGAAAAAGAAATTACTGTTGAATATGCTGCAGAATGAATAAATAAGCAAAGAGGATTGTTTTAATTTTAGTTAGAATTGGAAAAACCCTAGTAATAGAGTGGCTAGCAATCAAATAATAAATTCATAAACTCAATCATCTGAAAATAAAAAATGCTTAATAAGCTAGAAATAGAGCAGAAAATTATAAGCCCACATTATTTCTTAATATATCACTTTACCTTTCCTTTTGTGAAAATTCAAAACCTTTCTACTGTAACACTTTTAAGTTGATAAATATCTTCATTTATTGAATTGGCTAACAAAAACCTGAACTACTGAATATCCTTCAAAAACTAGAATTCCTAATTTAATAGTCATTAAATTAAATCGAAATGAATACTATTTTTGATAAGTTTCTTTATTAATATAAAAAGTTCATCCCATGTTATAATTTGAACTTTTCTTTTTTACAATAATTTAAATAATAAAATATTCTTGAGATTTCGGAAAATTTATAATGAAAAATTAAGAATAACATTAAAATTTAATTGATATCATTTATATAATATTTCATATGCTTGATAAGTGTCCTTCTTCTTCCCCCAAAATACTAAATATTGTCCATTATTTGTTACAGTTCCATATATTTCCCAATTAAGACAATCTAATTCTTCAACAATAGATAATTATCCATCATTTTCGAATTTAAGTAGACAAATATGACACACATGTCTGAGACATATCATATTTTTGAGTTTATTATAAATAATTGGAAATCCACTTAAACCTACTAATCCTTTATTATCTTTTTTAAATTAAACTCTTTTCTCTATATTTTCTTGATATAAACCATCATCTTTACATTCAAACACACAAAGATTATTACTTTTATATGGTGCCCAAATAAATTAATCTTCCTTTAAAAACTTCACATGAAATCCATATTCTTATATTGATTAATTAACAACATACTAGAACTTCCACTAAGTATTTATTTCTTTCTTCCAAATTATAATTTAATCACTTCCACATGAAACCAATACTTTCTCTGATTAATTTAAGCTTAAAGAATAAACCGACCCTGCATGTTTATCCAAAGAATATAAAAAATTTGATTCATGATTATTGAAATTTACCGTCCATACTTTAATTGAACTATCATCACTACATGATATCAATTAATTCTCATTTTCTGTTAAGATTATGCAATAAATATATTTCTTATGTTTATTCTATAGTTTAGAACTTTTCCATTCATTATTATCATAATATTTCCACATAATAATTGAACCATCTGAAGATCCTGAAACAAAATAATTATTAATTTAGCTATGGACTAGACAGATAACTTAATGTCCAAGAAGTGAATGAGTTTATTTGATCATTCCATTATCGAAGTTCCAAATTTTAATAATAGCATTTCTACCTGTTGAAACCATAATCTTTCCTTTTGAATCAAATACATCGCATTACATATATCATGTTGCTTAATTGAATTATAAATAAATTCTAACTTACTTGGACTTAAGTATTATTAAACCACTAAATTGTTAGTGACTAAATTGTATTACTTCTTATCTTAAGGGATATTTTACTTAATAGTTGGATTTGAGCTTATTTATTCTACACGTTAAGATTATTGAGTTAGATTGTTCAATATGTCTTTACATTTTTTATATTCTTGAAATGATTTAAATATTTCTAGTTTTGAATTAATTTTTGTATTCCAAGTATCATATAGCATATTAATTTGATTTGATAAATTAATCTGATCCTTATAAGCTGATGATTAATTCATTACAATTGAATCTAACTCTTCATAGAAACTATACTCTCTATACTTTGAACCTGCGGATTATAAGTTTGATATCCAATCCTTTGTATTACCAATCATATGATCTAATTACTGAATAAGATTTGACTTCAAATTATAGACTTGAGTTTAAAATAACTCAACATTTTAAATATTTTATTTGATTATAACCTCTAAGGTTTCTAATAATTTTTTTCTATTATCTTCAAGCATCTAAATAACTTTTTTAAATCCTATAGTCTTGGCGTCTGTTTCATAATCATCAATGCATTATTAACATAGAAGTCTTTAATTTGATCTTAGTTTAGGATCTAAGACAACCATGGATATAGGCAATTTGTGTTTCCCTTAACAATCAAGATCTTTTTCATTTTCTATCATTTTTGGTTGATTCATTAATCAATTATTTATTATTGAAATATTTAATTTAGGTTTGGATTGACTAATTTCATCACAAGACTTTGGACAGTTTACTTAGTAAAGAAGATTGAAGAAAATTACACTGTTTTTAAAGAAATATAATCAAGGGTTTGGCCCATTATAAATTGGGTTTGGTAAAGCCCACATAACGTTATATATATCGTTATATTGGCCCATTAGTAGGATTAGTTCAGCAGTCACATAAAAATGAATAAAATAACCATTTTGTTGAATCTACAATACGCAATATTGTGAGAAAGCAAAATATTTTTGAAAGGGGTAAGCCCCCTAGTAGGTTTAATTCAGCAGTCACATTATGTTGAATTCTCTACACAGGGTTTGGG